TTTAATTGTTTGGAAAGCAAAATAAAACCTTTAAATCTTTCCACATCTATTTTATTTTATTTCTGTTTATCTTAATATATGAAATCTGATTATGTTCGTGTTTATCATTATTTCCGTTATTAATATCATTATTAGATATTCTTTTTGTATCTTCTTATCCTTCTAAACATATTTAACTCCAGATTGTCCTTTAAAATCAATTTTGACTTTCATAGCATCAATCTTAATTATTATTGCACAAATATTTATACTAATATCCGGTTTCACTCTGTATACTATTACATAAATCTAAATGTATTCATCCGAGTGCTTTAACGGATTTTTATTTTATTTTTGCAACTGCTGGTTTTCTTCTGAGGTTGATATTTATTACACAATTATTATTCTTATCATGGATCAGAACTTTTCACTAGGTGTTCACTTCTTTTCACTCCATTCTTTCCCTCTCAATAAATATTCTTAAGATTACGAAGTTTGTAATTAAAACAATAACTTGTGTTACACTTAAATTAAATTCTCAGACCCGTTTTATCTTCACTATGCATATATGACTCATACATATTGATATTTTATTATCCTTTTCATTTAATTGTAACTTTCATAGCATCACTCTAAACTATAACTGCACAAACATCTATTCTAGCGTCATATCTTACTGCAATTATAAGTTATTTTTCCTTAATTATTTTTTGTTACTAATTTAACGATACACACATAGTCGTTTATTCTTGTTCTGTGTTCGTAAACACGCCTATTAGAATGTTTGCGCATTTCACGTCTCCTTTATTTCCATCCCCTTATTTTCTTCATTTCCCTCTTTAAACTCAATTCACTATTCTTCTCAATTGCACAGACCCGATTTATTATTATTAATATTCTACTATTATTGCTCTAAAAATTTTTTAAATGGCAAGTATAATGCTGACATTATTGAAAATTGTGTATTATTGCATTTTTTGAAGAAACCCGAAATGGTTTCTTCACAACAATTATGTACCCATAAGATGTTTGTGAATAATAATAATAATAATAATAATAATAATAATAATAAGCTCAAACGATTGGATATCAAATCAACTCTAATTGACTGACTCAATTGATGTCTAAAAAATCGATATTTTAAGGCCAGGGTTAACTTCACTTTATCTCAGGCTATGGAATGACCTAGTGGGGATCCCCCAGAGCTCAGTACTAGGACCTCCTTTCTTTTTGGTTTGTACAGATAGTCTTCCACAACAGGTAACGTTAGACTTATTACTTTTTGCTGATGACGTGAAACTTTGGAGAGCGATGCGCAATCGTGAGGATATACAGGCACTTCAGGAGGATCTGACTCGACTTCAAAGTTGGGCAGACGATAATGGACCTACCTTTAACACTTCAAAGTGTAAAGTAGTCCACCTGCGAAATGTCGCAGAGTACAGTTATAACTTAGGAAGCTCCTCTTCAGCTGTATCCCGAGTCGAAAAAGATTTAGGAGTCCTGGTGCCACACGAATTAAAGTCTCACGCTGACTGTGACAAAAATGTCTTTCGAGCAAACTTTGCACTGGCAACACTGAAACGCATTTTTGGCCAGTTTGACGGTAGAACTTTCCATATAATCTTCAACAGTTTTATCCGTCCCTATTTAGAGTACGGAAACATAGTATTTCCTCCCTCACTCTAAAAGGATAAAGACACTTTTGAACGTATTCAACGGTGACTCGAATTCAATCCTTATGAAGAGCGCCTTCAATCAATTAACCTATACCCATTAGAGTATAGGCGTCTTAGAGGTGACCTAATGACTTACCGTATCCTTAACACTTCTGGACATCCTCTTAAACACCTACTTAGGCTTAGTCCCAATACAAACCTAAGGGGTAACACCCATAAGTTGGAGACACAACTCAGCATAACGGACTGTAGACACAACTTCTACTCCTTAAGAGTTGTCAAATACTGGGATTCTCTGTCTACTGAACTAGTCCAAGCGACTTCCTAGGAGTCTTTTAAGAGGAAACTTGACCTATTATTAAGGGCTGAGGATAACATCTTGTTGTGATTTACAAATTTCTTTTCTTTTTTTCCTGTATTATCGTTATTATACCTAGGTCCTTGCCCGCGTGTGTTGGTGATCCACTGCTACTAGACACGGAAGCCCGTTAAGCGAAAGCTTCTTCTATTCCGTCCTCAACCATTTGAACCGTTACGCTGAACCCTAACATCAGTTTTGATACTTAGAGGCAATGACGGCAAGTTATATAATATCAGCGGGGAAAACCTGCTCACTGTCATTGGGATACCCATGGAACAGTTGAGTACAGTCTTAAATATTTCCCGTTCCGGCATCGTGGATTCTGTCTTCCCATACCCTTTCGTCAGAGATGGAGAGTTTCTTTCTCTCTGTCAGATGGATTCAAGTTCATTCAAGTCTTATTAAGGAGTACTTTTAGGACAGATGGAATCCGTGTTTTGTTCCAAGGTTTCTGATCTGGATTTGCAGGGTGGTCCGCCGTTTGTGGAATGATATCATATTTGTTGTTCATTAGCTTTAAACTATTTACCGTGTTACAAACGTTGTGGAATACAACACGACTCAAGATTCTACGTTCGCATTTTTTAATGGCTTTCAAACGAGGTTAAGGATTATATCAAAACAATCACAGAAACCATACTTCCACAAACTTATTTTTAGAGACCACTGGGAATACATCAAAAAATTTATCGCGTTCCTTTGAATAACTTAGTGTTAATTTTGAGAGAAGTGGACAACTTCAGACTCGGATTTGCGTAGTAAGAACAGAAGGTCTACAGTCTATACTATTCCATTTCTAGTATGCTTCTGTGAATGCATAGTACTTTCTTAAATGGCTTAATTGAAGGTGCGGACATCACCGTTTCATGAAACAAGTTTCAAGAATTGACGACTCATTGTGAAAACCTGTATTCCACGGGTATCTTATTCGTTCAGGTACAGGCACTTCCTCTATCTTGTACCTATTTACATTCGTGTTGTTTCTCGTCAGATTTTTATATCATCAGCATATAGTAACATTGAGGACTCAACTATTCTCGGGAGTTCATTTACATACTGTATAAAAAGATAGGGACCTAGGACAGAACCACGCGGCACTCCACTAAGTACTGGTCTACAGGTGGAGCACTTGGAATTCGCTCTTACTTTCTGTCTACGACCCATTAGGAAATCCTTAAATCATTTTAGAAGAGATCCGGAAATGCCTGGATTTTCCAGCTTCAAAAGCAGCCCATTTGTTGACACTTTATCAAATGTTTTGCCGGAGCCTATGTAGACAACATCCACTGACTTTCCATTGTCTAGAGTCTCTATCCATTGCTCCCTTGCAATATGGAGATTTGTTGTGCAAGACAAACGTTTTCTGAAATGGTGATGTTCACTGTTTAACAAATTGCTGGTTTCCACAAATGTTATTATGGTTTCCTTGACTATTCTTTCCAGTATTTTAACTACGACACTGCTGAGGCTGACAGGTTTGTAATTCGATGGAAGTTTTCTTGATCCTGTTTTATGTATGAGAGTGACGATTGCATCCTTTCAGTTCGTAGATAACACACCTTGGTCAAGTGGCATATTGAATATCATAGTTAGTGGGGCTGAAATATGTTGTGCAATTTGTCTCAGGATTTTGGGGTGTGGTTCATCCAGTCTTGCTGACCTTTCCATGCCTAAGGTGCTAAGAGCCTTGAGTATATCGTCTCGATCAGAGTCCAAGGTGAGCAGACGATTTGTTGACATTGCATTTAAGTCTTGTTCTTCGTCTATAAGCGGCACCTGAGTAAAAACTGCACCAGAATAGTTTGCTACGGCCTCTGCTTTTTCCTGATTACCCTCTATAACTTCAGATTCACTCACTTCTGAAATTAGGTTGGGTATCCGATGCTGCTTTCTTGTTCTGTAAATTGTGTACAAGTATAGTCTCATAGGCTGCTTGATTACAAACTGGGCTGAATGTACTTTTTTGCTGCTTTCTGAATTGTAATCATACACTTATTTCTTACCGACCTTGTTTTGCGACGACTGGTAGTAACGTTCTAACATTTGTTTTGTCTTGGAAATCGTCGAATATCCCCATCCAGGAATGGCCGTTACTCTCCTTCTTTCGACTGTCCAGGGTATAAATGGTTGAGCCACCTGATTGTATAACTGCCAGAAATGAGTCCATGCCTCTTCTACTGATGCCCCTGAGTCAATTATCCAATCTCCAGTCTATGCTGCGGAGTTGATTGCCTTCGTATCTGCCTTTCATATATTGGGACGGGTTGACGTAACTGTTTGACAGACCATCTCAGCCACGAACTTGGGTTCAACGACTGCATGATCACCTATCCTCAGAGATGGGAAGAAAGTTATTTGACTGACATCATTACCATGTGTGAAGATTAGATTCAAGAGAGACGAGGAGCTTCGTAAGTCATATCTGATGGAATCTCTAATGGGCGGGAATAAATTTAGTGGCAATTTTAGGAAATGTTCAGGTACTAGTCTTCAGACTCTCTCCTCTCAGTGGCAAGAAGAAAACCCACAACTAAACGCTTTGTCGCTTAATTCGCACTGCTGTTTTTAAGAAACTCCTACAAAGTTCGCCCTAATCTCTCCTATATTGGTTGCTTGGCGGTTGTTGCGTATTGAAATGAATTACAAACTGTCGGGTGCCTATGATAATTAGGGGTATCTGAATCATAGTACAAACTAGGAATCACAGAAATAACGCCATTGAATAATGAAGTACCAGATAAGCACAAACGAATGTACTATATTTGGAATTCAAAACCAAGCATTCAACAAGTACAAAGGAATCGTCAGTTCATACAAACACCACAGTGCCTCAAGAAGTAACTGTTCCTGTCATTTGACAGGACAATATATATGCCAAATCAACATTCATTTGCTGTACTTGGCTCCAAATGTAAAAAGTTCACGGTCATTTTTGGTAGTGTGGTCAGATCGTTCTTATCGTGAAAGTGGGATAATGAACCATGGAAAATAATGTAAGAATAAATGTGTCGTATCAATTGTATGTATAGTTTTGTATCTTAATGAAACACTGTTATGAGTACTTGTTATAACTGCGGACTCAAATAGTCACTTATTTCTGAATAGCTGAACAATTAGTGATATAGCTTGATCTTAGAAAGCGAGACTATGGATAAGGTTTTGTTAGCACTACGAAATAACTACGCAGCTGATACAAGTACTGATCTGCCACTGATTCAAGAACTATCAAAATTATAGTGTTATGTAGGGTTCATTTAATAGCTGTCGTCGAATTTAAAAATCTGAACCATAGTAGATGACATTCACCAATCGATGATTTGGTGTATGCATAAATTCTACAATACCATTAGAATCTCTGCTTTAATTGAAAAATATGGTAAACTAGTGAGTTACGTTTCTGCTTTTTCCTGATCATATTGTGATGTATTTCGGCTAGATAAGCGTACCAAAATGCTTATGCCAACGTGGATTTTAGGTTCACAGCCTCTATGATTAAAAATCCTGTACAAGTAAAATGTATGCACGATAATTTTGTCACTAGTGTCCTAGTCTGAAAACTAGTTATTGTGTGATGACTTGTTTGGAATTACGGTAATAGATGAATTAAATATTGTTCAGTTTTAACACCTCATGTCGGATAGATCTCCTCAAATGCCCTGGTATGGCCGAGAGCAGGGTGGGCTCGCCCTCCCTCTCGAAATACTCTTACACGGCCACGCGTATACAGCCTCTGACATGGAAGTCCTACTCACTGCCTTCTCGTGGCGGGGGTGTTGTTTACGAAAATGAGAGGACGAAAAGCGAATGTCCGGCGCTTTAACCGGATCACAAACCAATGGTGCACACTCGTTCCAGTATCCTGTGGGAACAAATGGCGTATGAACCAATTTCTTGGTCACCGGCTACCATGGGACTGCATCTCCTCACGATGCTCCACTGCCTTGTGGATCAGACCTTTAGATCAAAGGCTCGAGGTGTGGTCCCCTTGAAAAACCACCTGCTTCTGTTTGGGCACCCGGGCAGTATCACAGCCCACACACCAAAAATGAACTGTCTATTTATGGAAAATATTCTTCTTGCTCTGAATAACAATCAAATGACTCACATTATTATTACTACTATTGTTATTATTATTTACTACGCCATTTATCCACCCTCTTTTATTCCCACTCTGTGTATACTTATTTTTCGATTTATACAGCAGCTCGCCTGTGGTGGAAATTCGGCTCTATCTAAACGTTCTCGAGTTACTGCCTGGTTGAAAATTGTATGCTACCAACAAATACGAATACTCAAACAGTTTTTCTGAAACCGCATGCACCATTCAAACTGGCTGCCTTCAACGTTCGCACACTTATGCAGGTCGGACAACAGATAGGGCTGGCTATGTCTTTGGAAAGTCTTAATATCGATGTTGTTGTCTATCCGAGACCCGTATTCAAGACTCTGGCGAAGTACTACAAATTCGATCTCCATCTGTCGCTTCGAAAAGCTTGTTTTACGTGCGCTTATCCGGGGACCCTGTGGCATCTTCGTCTGGTCTTGCTGGCGTTGGTGTCGCACTAAGCGCTAGAGCTGAGGCAGCACTAGTCGATTGGATCCCCATTAACAGTCGGTTATGTGCTGTTAGATTAGAAAGTTCCATCAAAGTGAGAAGAAATCGGCGTGAGAAACGATGTCTTTTCGTCATCTCCGCCTATGCCCCGACAGATTGCAGCCCGGATGCAATCAAGGATGAGTTTTACCACCAGTTATCTGTTCTTCTCCAGAAAGTGCGTTCGACAGATATTGTAGTACTAGCCGGAGACTTGAATGCTCAGGTCGGGCGTCTAGGCACAGAAGAGAGTCGTTTAGGTGGCCGATGGGGACTCGTTGGTCGCAGGTCAGATAACGGGGACCGTCTACTGCAACTTTGCACAGACCACAACCTGTTTCTGGCTAGCACTAACTTTCGGCACAGTCATCGCCGATGTGCCACCTGGCGTCCTCCCTCTGCATCTCAAGCCTGGACTCAGATTGATCACATCGCGATCAGCTACCGCTGGCGTGGTTGTGTACAAGACTGCCGCTCCTTTTGGAGTACCTATCTGGACTCTGACCATGCCTTGGTCTGCGCCAATCTTGCCTTACTTTTCAGTGGACAACGAAGTGACGCCATCAACGGATTGATGTTAGCAAGCTGGTTGCAACTTCTGTTGCAAGTAAGTATCGAACCGAGCTAGCCTCTAGGCTAGCTACCACTCCACCGAAAAGTATAGATGAGCATTGGTTGCAATTGCATGACGCCATGAAAATGGCGGGAACAGTCAGTTGTGGGTTTGCGAAACGTCCCGCTTTAAGCACTGGGTTTCTTCTGGTTCCTTACAACTCATTGAAGCCCGTCGGTCTACTCCGGGTGACCGTGAGTTTGACCATAAACGAAGGATGTTACGTAAGGAAATTGGGCAAAGCTTGCGTAAGGACCGAGAAGCCTGGTGGTCGATGCGTGCTAATGAGCTGGAAGCAGCAGCTGCATCTGGTAACTACCGGAAGCTCTTCCAACTCATCCGAGCCACTGGCAGCAAGAAGTCTGGTGTGAGTGAAACAATCTGCGAGGATGATGGGATGCCAATCACTAACATCCATCGACGTCTTGGACGATGGGCAGAATTTTTCGAAGGGCAGTTCAACTGGCCTGCTGCTCCGGCAACATCGGTCAGACTGTCCTGCCCTCCATGGCCGGTGACGACTGATCCACCAAATGAGGAGGAAGTCCGCAAGGAACTCCAACTCTTGAAGCGTTACAAATCACCTGGCCCAGATGACTTACCTCCGGCTCTTTTTAAAGATGGTGGTGACTTTTTGACTAAGGAATTGACGACGTTGTTTACAAAGGTTTGGGAACTAGAGAGTGTACCAACGTCATGGAATGAGTCGATAGTTGTCCCTATCTTTAAAAAGGGTTCACGTCGTTCCTGTAACAACTATCGGGGGATAAGTCTACTTCCGATTGCGTCCAAGCTATTGGCTTCCGTCATATTTCGTAGGTTGTTCAAAACCCGAGAAAGATTGACTCGCGAGGAGCAGGCTGGGTTTCGTTCTGGTCGAGGATGTATTGATCATATCTTCACCCTCCGCCAAATGTTAGAACACCGCCATACTTATCAAAGGCCAACAATCGTAGTGTTTCTTGACATCAGGGCTGCCTTCGATTCGTTGGACAGGACTGTTCTCTGGGATTGTCTATTGAAGAAGGGTGTGCCTGAGAAGTTTATTAACATCCTAAAAGCCCTATATAAAACACCTCAGGCAGAGTGAGGGCATACAACCACCTCTCTCCATTGTTCCATTCGAGCAGTGGGGTTAGGCAGGGTTGCCCAATCTCACCATTCCTCTTCAACTTTGCCATCGATGACATTCTGGAAACAGCTCTGATGAATGTAAGTAATGGTGGTGTGGATCTGTTGCCTGGAGAAAGACTTCTCGACCTTGAGTATGCGGACGATATTGTCTTACTGTGCGATAATGCCCAAGGCATGCAATCCGCACTTAATCAGTTGGCAATCAGTGTCCGTAGGTATGGTATGTGCTTTGCACCTTCGAAGTGCAAAGTACTTCTACAAGACTGGCAGGATTCTAATCCTGTACTCACCCTGGATGGTGAGCAGATAGACGTAGTCGAGAAGTTCGTGTATCTGGGTAGCTGCATAAGTGCTGGTGGGGGTGTGAGTGATGAGATCAATGCACGAATAGTGAAAGCCAGAGCGGCTTATGCCAATCTGGGCCACCTTTGGCGCCTTCGTGATGTTAGTCTGGCTGTAAAAGGTCGGATCTACAACGCGTCGGTGAGAGCAGTTTTGCTCTATGCTTGTGAAACCTGGCCTCTCCGAGTTGAGGACGTTAGACGACTCTCTGTGTTCGATCATCGCTGTCTCCGAAGGATTGCTGACATTCAGTGGCAACACCATGTCAGTAATGCAGAGGTTCGGCATCGTGTGTTCGGGCACAGAGATGATAATCAATTGGTGTCACCATCTTGAAACACCGACTTCGGTGGCTTGGACATGTTCTCCGAATGTCGTCCCAGAGAATTCCACGTCGTGCATTATTTGCCGACTCTGGGACTGGTTGGAAGAAGCGGAGAGGTGGTCAGTGCATGACATGGTGTCGTGGCATGAAAGAAAGCTGCAAAGGACTGGCTTGTGTTGGTCCTTCACGACTCCCTGGTTGGGGTCCGAGAGATGGTGCTACACAGTGGCTAGAGACGTTATCAGATATGGCTCAGAATAGAAGCCAGTGGCGATCCTGCTGTAACCTTCTTTTACTTTCCTCATAAAACGTGGTTGTATCTTCCTTAACTGAAACATTTCTTCTGATTGTACCTTTTCGTTTCCCCCATTATTATTACGCTACCTTACCTTATTCTGTTCGTTATTGCTCTTTTTTTTAAACACTCCTCACCTTTTTCCTTCTCCTCTTCAAATTCCCATGGTTTTGTGTGGCGCATATATATTTGGTGCCCTTTTGTACCAATATTTATGTGTTCAAATAAATAAATAATACTCGTAGTGACTAGTCATTTTATTTAAAGCAGATTGACACGTTTAGAAATGTCAAACCGAAAATATTTTATGAATTCTTACTGTTATCTATTCACCAATAGGTATAGGTTTATTCGTTCGTCTTTGAGTCGTACTTTTTGTATGATAGCCTACTCTACTAAACTGCTCAAAGAGAACTAGTGGAAGTAGGATATAGATCCGTTACCCGTAATATCCTTTCCATTCAGTCGTCAGTTAATGCACAATTCTCTGGACAGTATTTTATTAGGACACTGTTTTTTTTCTACTAAATATACTGAGATATAAAAACATTTCGCCTTGAAACTTTCATAGACGGAAGAAAAATCTATGCTAACACCAAAAGATGGTTGTATTTTTTGCTCCATTGCTTACGGAAAGACAAATCAAACAGTCTGTTTCGAAGTAAGTTTTGATTATTCTTGTTAATCAATAATTTTTCCGAACACTTATGAAAGACCAATGATTTAGTGATATTTCATGATCACTTACCGAAAGCTCAGTATCACTTTCAATGTGTTCCTAAAAAGCACATAAGGAACGCTAAATATTTGACTCATGAAGATATACCACTAGGTAAACTCTGGCTTTGCTTCATGTAAATCAGTTATGGATATGATGAATTGCGGAAAGAATTATCTCACTAATCAATTGAAATTGAACCCAGACGATTTTCTGTAAATTATCATTTAATATCAAATAAGTTGTAGGTTTGGATTTCATTGGCCACCATTCAATAGTGTCCATCATTTACACATGCACATCCTTGGACCTAAACAACTTATGAGTTTTAATCTAATGTTTGATCCGCGGTTTCATATTTTCCGAAAGGTAAGTGTGCGATCGTACTTATTTTGACGCTTTTTCTATCAATTCTTTGCTAGGTTGAGAGAGTTTTGGACGATTTAAAAAAGCTCAAAATTGAAAGGAAGAAGTGAAATAGGTCGACCTCAAGCAGTCCAACGAACAACTCAATATTTAGTTGGCTTCGTTTACGTGCTTTCATATTTTCTTTTCTATTTTGCTGATCATCAAATCAATGTAGATAGTTCTTTTTTACCGTGCTTTCGAATCATGTAATTTGATATACAGTCTACTATTTCTCAGAACAATCTTAAAAGCCGTTGTGATATTGTTTCGACAAAAAGTATGTCTTCATTATTTTATCAGATGCGATTCTCAATGAATTATATTTTCTATGGTATCTTTATCATAACTTTTTCATAGTGTGTTCAGGTACGACATAGTAGTTAAGGCTCTGGATTATCATCTAATGTTCTGCAGGTCGGGAACCCATTCCATGTACTTCGACTTATTCAGTCCAGCATCATAATTCTTTATAGGAAATCTGTGTCTCAAAGATTAGTACACAAACTTGTAATGAATAAACGAGTTTTATTTGGTCATTGCAATAGTTTTAAATCTTCTGAAGACGGATATAATACCAGTACTGATGTCCGTTAGCAACAAAAACTGCAGGGTTAAAGTGGTTCAATCAACTCTGGAAGTCTTTAGTGACTGGGTAGATGCTTAAAAAAATATATTTCGGCAGGTTTTAAACACAATGAGTTGATGCGATGTATACATGGACTGACAGCTGCTGTACAATTATGCTGTGCGACGAAAGTGATATAGTTGGAAAGATAGGGTTTATAGCTAATATTAAACAGTTGATCAGACTCATCATATAGCTAAGACTTCGGGTATCAGTTGTTAGTAAAGAGACTAAGAAAGACGACTCAGTAATGCACTGAAATAAAGGGACTTTGTTAATTAGAGATAAATTAAGTAATAGCTCAATTGACTTCCATCTACTTCAATTTTTCACTGCCCATCAACAATCTGAAGACTAACCAATAGAGAGGTAACAGGAAGGTCGGACTGATAATTTTAGATGATACTTCAACAGTTAGTAATATTGACCGAGATATAAGGTAGGGTCTGGATCAACTTCACCTAACTGGTAAAAGCTTATAACTTAGGTCCAGATACCCTGGATACATTTGACGTGATAATCACAATACCTGATTGTAAATATTAAGTGGTTTCTATTTATTTATGTAAACACATGAACATTGGTACAGGGAGGCACCAAATGTTTATGTGCCGCACTTCGTCATTCGACTTGTGTAAGGGCTGGAATATTGTCCGGGCGCGCAAACTGAAGCAGGTGGTTTTCTCAGGAGGTCACTTCCCGAGCCTTTGACCTAGAGGTCTAATCCACAAAGCAGTGGGGAAACGTCAGGACACAGTCCCACGGTCGCCGGTGGTCAACAACAGTTTCATACGCCAGTTTCCGTCCCGGGATCCTTGAGTCTATATGCACCACAGGTTTGGGATCAGGGTTCCCCAAATCCCCCAGATGGATCCTCCGTATCCATTAACACGAGTTTGCTCATATCCTGCTATACACAAGCATTTCACTAGAGATTTTTGGGAATAAAGACGGCTACTATTGCAATATGAAATGTTGGACCATAGTACGAGAAAAAAGATGCATTTTTCAACCCTACTGAGCAATGACGGTATCGAAGATTTTATCCTGGGTGACTGTTGTTTCTTGTTCATTCGTACTTAAGAAAAACGAAGTTGTGAGGTTGTAGACGAAGAAGTAATGGCCGTATGAGACCGGGATCAGTCGTCTCATCATTACTCTCCAGTTAGAGCTCTAGAGATTGTGCAATGCAGTGGTTTGAGATGTGCAGCTCTGACTGTCAGGTTTAATCTTTAGTCGCTTTGTCAATTTTCAACTGAACTGTATCGCTTACTGAATACTGTTTCTGTTCATTTATTAATGAAAACAATTGGTCGCTTTGATTTTTTCGTACAATGTCTTAACAAGCGCTAATGAGGTGTGGCAACTTGGACCGATGCATATGTGTGCCTGGTCCTACGTTGTAGCGGACTGACTTAATTAACAAGTATATATATGATCAGGTTGTTCGAAATGTATTGGAGGGACGTAATTCTGATAACCTTTGTACTCTGACCGCATTATCCATAATTATTTATTGATTGTACAACCTTACCCTCGTTTATTCCTACACAATATCGCTTCCTTTGTGTGGTGCATTTTTCGGAGTCGTGTTGTACCTAAATAAATATTAACATGAAGGCTAAACCACGACTTCTAGTTTACGACGGTGCATTTGTTTATTTAAAAGGTCGAAAAGTCCCACGAAAATACAATGCCTTTGAAACGACTAAGTAGTCGGTAGGGGTCAGGTGTGACGAGAATTTCGTTAAGACTTAACTATTAGCAATAAATGTGAGTTGCATGCACAATTCATTGAAACACACTCGGATTATCATTATCTGTTTCTTTCGAATCAGAAATAATACTGAATCCTACAACTCATCACCTAGAAAAATAATAGCACTAATAATTATACTAAAACAATCAAATTAAATATTGTTTATGATTATGAACAATGTATCATCACATTCGTGCTCAAAGAAAAATATCACTTCGATTTTATAGACAAAGAGAAAAACGAAAGAAAAAATCTTTAACAACTGAACGTAACATACACATGGAAATAAAAAATAAAATGGCATAAAACACATTAGATAATTTGCAAGATCACATAGTACGGGGGAAACTGTGAATTCCTTGAACCCTCTCGTCAGCCAGTCAGTTTCACTTTTAGTTCACTTGATGCTTACGAAATACACAAAATGGTAATTCATAGGAATCATGAGTCAGACAGAATTGAGATAATTCTTACCTATCCGAGTCATAAATCACAAAATACGCGATAGTACGGTCTACTCAATTAGACAGTTGGTTTTCTGTTAGTGTTACTTTATGTAAGCAAGAATTTCTCTAGAGTGAGCGAATAATATAGTAATGGGATTACTGATAGACTGCATGTGTTGAGAAACAAAATGAAAACAACATTCGTAAACGAGAAGATTATCGATAATGAAAGATCTTTTGTTTTCTGTCTAAAACTGATAGTTCTGCTCTATTAAGTAAAACGATAATGGATAAGAATGAAAATTGAGATGGATGAATTACATATGTTTCTGGTTACTATTCTTGCTAATATAACAGAGAGAGACAAAGCGTGACCTGACAGAAAGATTTTCACTGGTTAACGTAAGAGTCAAGAGAAAATGAACCATCCGAATTAGGGCCAGGAGAAAAAAGCAATTCATATTGTGTACAGCGATTTAGGAGAAAATACAGTCATTGATTTGAAATCGTCTGCTGATGATAACAGTAAATAATATACAACGAAAGACTAACAACGTAAAACTCCCCGACAAACCTATCCTATCAGTGGTAGGTAGCTGATTGGAATGGGTCCGACTGAAGGTTGACAGGACTAAGTGGTTTCGGTCCACTCTGTGATCGAGTACGTTCAGCACGTCGAGTCGGAGTCCGAACTACAGGCGTTTGTTGTCTAGGACTGTTTTCCTTAGAAGTATTGCGTTTGATACCTTTGCTTTCAAGGCTTCTCGTAGTGTTAAATGAATGGCGATTATGGGTGCTCTAAAATGAGACAAGTGAAAGCAAATCACAAAACTATATTTTATCTTGAATAAAAGTAAATCACATGGCCATTCGCCAGAGATGCAAATGTCACACAATCCATTGAATTTACAAGTATACATTCTGAAAATACAGATGATTAGTATGATAATAGACAATTTGAGACCTTCTTGACCCAATCGAAGTTGACTGTTGATAAAACATTCTGCTTAGGTAGATCAAAACCACTGTACGTACTTACTTTTCCAATAATTTTGTAGTGACAAATCCATGACTTTGATGGTTTTACACATGTTAATCCTCATAGTGACAAATACCACCGACCACGATATTCCTCGGCTCTTCTTTCCAGTTGTTTTCACGTCCTATTCATTCTTTTGATGTCTGTCTCCAATTCCCCACGCCATGTGCTCCTTGATCTCAGGCACACCATAGTGAAGAATAAGTTTCTCCTATTTACACTGTCAAACGCTTTCTCATATTCAAGGAATTTGATATGAAGTGACGAGTTTCGCAAAACCGGATGTTCAACAATGATCCTGTTGAAGACGTTAGATCCCTAGAACTCACTTGGAAAAAGTTTTAATGTTGTAATTTTATTCTGAACATTTGAATCTATGTTTTCGCGCCAAGAGACGTTTAGTTGACCTACAGCTCACATTTCCCACTCGGAAATCCTTGATTGTCATTGGTTGACGGATTTTTTAGTACGCTATTTTGTGGCTCTCCAAGGGCATTTCTATCACTGTACAAATAAGCTTGGTTTGTGTGCTTAGTGACCTCGTATTTTCTGATTGCATGTAGAATACATTCTCTACGTCCCATCAAGACTTCTTGATCTAGTTAGCAGGGCCGGGGGCAACGGATTAAAATAGCTTATCGTATAACTGTATCTTTGACTTTCGTTCGATTTACGGAGTTAGGTGAACTCGTATAAGCATTCAAGTATATCAGATCCAAATTGTCGCGATCAGGTGTGAAAACACTATCAGTGACAGCAAGTGGAAATACAGTTATGAGTACAAATAGTGCATCAATTCCAAACCGCATAGTTCATATTCATGTTGGGTTTCTTTAATTCACTTACATAACTAAATCTCTTCGGTCACAAGCGTTAACTGACATCCTACTTATCTAGTTTATAATTACGTGATAATTTCGGACATTTTTTAAAAGTTGATTTTGCTGCATTAAGATTTCCCCCAGTTTTCTATACATAAATAATTTCTGGCACAAAGAAGTAACTACCACATTGAGAACATAAAATGTAAAATGTTTCAACGGAGTAACATACAAGAGACACGGTCGCAGATAGTACACGGATAATCTGACTATAGCAAACCATAATCCTAACAGAGTATTCATAGACCAACCATATAGTTGTATTAAAGGAATTGTCAGAATACCTATGAATTGTGGTGTCAATAAGCTTGTGTTTTTCTGGATGGAAATGTCAATATCTTCAAAATGCCAACTGGAAAAGAGAAGACAAGTCGAGGAACTCTTGATTCTCATACACTAGTTGAGAAATTTTTCTTAAGAGCATTAAAGGTGTTGGTGATTGTTTGTAAAACAAAATATGATATATGTGTGACTCACCAACAATATTCTTAAGCAGAAGGTACAATTCTAAAGGTATCTATTCACAGTGAAAAACAGCGAAGTCAGAACAAGGACTGATATTGAATGAATCAACAACCAGTTACAGTTTATTGACGGTGTAACTCACCAAAGAATACATTCGTGTACTCAGTTTTCAGTCACATCACCCGGCTCCTCAACCCTATCTATGTGGAGCGGGAGTCAGACATAAAACATAGTGGTTGAAAGTTGAACACCTGAACCACTTATCCACCATACCACAAAATTACAGTTTGTACTATATGAAGAAAATAGGCAGTGTATCGTAGTAAACTTACAGTAGAACGTGTCCGTTTCTTGTTAAATGACTTTTCGATCGCACTTTTCGGCATAGTATCAAAAACACAAGACGGTTGAAATGGAGATTGAGCATTGTAATGTAATTGTACTTGTTGATGAATAATATTATTATCACGTAAACTATTACACAGGACAGCCTTCTCCTCAGAAGTAACTGGAATACAATCCTCATCAGATTCACTGTCAGTTGAAAGTCTTGAATTATAGCGTTTTCTTGATGTTTGTACAGTTTGTCCAACAACATCACTTTCATTGAACAGCTCTCTTGGTAACGCTTGTACACTAGCAGATCGTATAATTGGTGGCCACACTCCAGCTAATCTATCTATTTCATCACGAATGTGTTCATAGTCTTTACGTGAAACATGCCTATTGGATAACAATTAGAGAAGAACAATCCCAAGTATTTGTTTAACACACAAAACAAACAAGGATTTTCAAAAGGCTTAACTAATTAAACAACCGGTACAATTCTTGTACTATCCAGCTAGTCGACAGAACATATCATTTTGCTGAAAATGTTTATTATATGGCGACTGTTACCGACTTTGAAGTGTGAAAAGTGAATGATATGAACATTCGGCTAATTAGACGAGCAATAATAGGTAAAACATTGTATGGTTGTGAGACCGATCGCCGTCAAGTTGACCTACAGGGCAGGCGCTTGAGGGTGAGACAATGTGATGCATTTGCACTATATTATTTCGAACTCTGCCTTCTTAGCGTTCTACTGAAATTGATAAACGGGACCAATTGCTTTAAGTCGTATTGTTGACTTAATAAATATCATACTACTAATTACCGATAAAATAATCTGCATTTCAGTAGTTAAAGCATTTTATTAAATTTATGGAAGAAATCAACCAGTACTGAACAAAATGGAAGGCATTCAAGACAGACATACCTGGGAAATAAAGCATGTTGAATATGACGTATTCGTTGTCGAAATGAAACGCCATCAACGATCGATTCCAAAATATATCCAAATAGTAAATTCCCCAATACTATTCCATGAAGAATTATTACAAAATAAACTGAAGGGAAACGACACAGCTGGAAATAAAATAACAAAACTAATAACATCACATACAATCCGAAGAATCTGTCAGAAATGTAAATCATTATTCAGAAAACTGTCCAACTCTTTTACGAAATGTTTTTGAGAAGAGTCTACTGCAGAAGAACGTTTGTCAGCTATTTCCAACAGGTATCTTGAAGTGACGAAAACTTCAGAAGGAATTAATATCCAACACCACGAAAATATCATGTTAGCCGGTACAACGTTTACATTCAAATTAGAAGACGAACACCATATCATAGTGCTGCTTTCGCAGAAACACATTAATATAATCAAGTGACGGTGGTACCAGTTCTTGAGGAGACGACAGTCAAACTTCCTTTCATACAGGCTAATTACACTAAATATGCACCGGAATAAACTGAACCAATACGACGTAGTTATAACAATAATAGCTATGTTATTAACAATACAGTAATGTATTGTGACGGAAACAATGTATGCAGAAAATACAAGGACAATGTAGAAATCTAGATTAAGGAAAGTTGTTCTCCTATAGAAACAATGTGAATCTCTCTATTCAGTATGTATATGTACCAAATGAATATGTCCAAGTGGTGGTTGCTAATATTAATAATACAACTACCACTACACACACAAACAAACAATAATTCACTTATTAGGAAAACGGAATAATTGTGGTTAAGAATAGTTAGGACAAAATTCTATAGAAAATGGATTAACCTTTATAACAATAAACAAAAGGATAACAAAATAAAACTGTGGTAACCTAAAAATATATGAAAACAATGAAACAGAAAAATCACTTCTTTCATAGATTGCATTCGTCTTAGATCGATTTTTGTTGGAGTATCATTAAAAACCAGGAGACACTAGACCGCTGTTTTGGCCACGTAGTGGACATCTCAAAAGTGCGTACACATAAGCACTCCAGGGATCTAACCCACGACCCTCACTTCAGGTCTCGCGGCGAATGCATATAGTTTAAAAAGTAGAATGGCCAGTATATTGTTAATCAACGAAAATAAATATAATTGGTCTGCAATTAATAAGGATAACCATGACACAGTGCTTCGTCCTTCACCGAAATCTTACTTCGAATAATTTGCGAACCACACGGGCTGGATGAGATGTTAAGTATAAGGACCCAGCAATACATGCAATAAGGTTGACAACGAATAAATCTATGGAATTGGAAAGTCATAGAGAAAATGACAATTGCGCATTAGTTAAAACCACAGTGAAAAAAATATCTGCCTAAAATTATCAACATATTCTTGAAGTTTACGCATAATATAACCATTTATTACATGCAACAATACGCATATTATGATTGTGATTAAAAGAGAAATCCATACTGTTTTCTGTCTTGATCTATAGTAAAGACAAGGAGAACTTATGGAAGTTGTAAACAATCGGAGGATTGTGGCTGACAGTGGAATTTAGAGCACGCATTCCGTCCTCCATGGCACTCATCAGCTGGATATACCTGCATCCCAGTGTTGATCTTCACACTGTCACTCGAACACAATGCCTACGCTTCAAACGCTCAATCCGATATGCACTGAGCTAATGAGTCAAGACAGTTACAATTCAAAAGTTTCACACATTCCAATTCCGGTACGACTGTCCTGATTGACACATCAGATCACAACGAAATGAACATATCATCTATAAGAAAATACAATAGTCTTAGCCAATTATCATCTCTCAATTTTTTTCTTATGATCCTCAAGGAGATTGTCGTAAACAACTGAACTCCCATTGACAGTGATTATTGCGGTGCAATGATTAACATCGACTAAGTTGGAAACTTGCATCTAGTCTAAATGAATTGTCATTGCATAAACTGTCTTCTGGTATTACAAACAATCAACCGGAAACACTAAACCTAGGTTTCGTATTAGCTGGTGGCAGTCGTCAGAAAACGAATTCATTGTTAAAATACCAATCCAATCATGAGAGGTCAAACAAATAATAATAATAATTTGGACAATATAAGACAATAATTAGAAAGAAACAACTTACGATTAGAAAAAATTGACCGACGATATGGTGCAGATTTAGAGAATACAATAGCCAATATGATATATTGATAGACAGATACGGAGAATATGGCCGTACTTTCATAATTTTTTAATTCATAATCTTCATGATAAGTAAACAGTGGTAAATACCTTCAATGAAATAAAGGATAATGATGATAGCAATCAAAGGAGTTGCATGAAGGGATAACGTGCTTTAGAATGAAACGACCGCTCAATCAACCCATAAAAGTCTGTCCACACATTAACACTACCTAGCGGATCATCGCTAACAAGACATTACAAGTAAATAATAGTAGTCTATATGTTCCTTTATCAATATTCCAATAAGTCTTAAATAATTTTTGAAACAATATAATACATCGATTTGATTACAATTATCAAGTTAATGCACTAACAGGTGTTTAAAACAGATATCAACGCAACAACCAATACAAACGGATGCTACACATAAACATCACAACATTAGAAACATATTCACTAACCATGGTTGTAGTCGAGTAAACACAAAGACTGAAAATTGTACAAGACCACAAGTGAGTAACTGCAAACCCAATGATAACAAGGTCACAGTTGACACTAGTCGCATCGCAGGAGGTTCCACCGAGAGACGAGGATACGCCGGAGTATAACCAACTAATGAAAAAAAACCAATACATTTTTTTAAAGAAAAAATAACCAATAAACAATATTCGTGAAATTACGGAGAATGACCATTGTATCATTTAAATAATCTAGGCTAGACCACTTGCATGAAAAAAACTGCTTCATGAAACGTGACGTTCTGCATACAAACAAACGTTCTACACCAATCAGGTCACATAAATGATTTTCTCGTTTTGCAACTATGTCTTGACTTGACACGGTTCTCTTTCAGTCTTATTCCTGCTACTGTTACCTGGTTGTCATGTAAAAATATATATGCTGTACGTGTTTAATCGACTTCTCGGGACAATCGACAATCCAACATGAACAGCATTCAACAGTATTGCAGTATAGAGAAATTATGCCGTTGAAAGTGATTACATTTGTATTTACCACACGAACTCCAAGGAGATCTATCAAAACAGAGTAGTTGTTCAACCTGAACACTAACAATCATATACAATTTTAGGATCACGTTCAAATCCAATTGAATTTAGTGACGTGTTGATGAAAGATATTAATGTAGCTTGGATTAGCTTGTATTTCTAAAATAAAATGAACCCAACCGCAATAAGTAAATAATGTCTGGTATTGAGAACATGAAGACATTGCAGGGATTATTTTCGATAAGAGGGAAATTCTGTTGAAGAAACCTAGTGTTAGTCGTGAAATCTCGATGACTTCCGAATCGATAGAGAGAAACTAAGGTGAAATTAAGGAAACATAAATCAATCTGCTTATTCATATAAGGTACGATAGTTCGAGTAAGGTCATCTATTCGTGAGGCTTTACGTGAAATATCTAATTGTAGATCAGAATAAAGTTTCGCATTGGAAAAATATGTAAGAACACGGAGAAAACCAGAATAGTACATAAATTATTGTAGATTATCACCCAGCAATCTAAGATTACTTGAACACATTAGGAAATTAAACCATACTATTTACATCGGTAAACAATGGCATCAACAATCAATGAAACCGTTTCGATTAAAAGGCGTGAGTAAATATACAATCCATAGATAGCATTTTCTTCGAAAGAGCCCATAATAATGAAGTGTTTGAGGTGTCGAAGCAGTTCAACTACCATTATGTTGAAGAAATAACCACAATTCCTACATCACCAGTTTTGGTTCGAACACTTTAGTAAGCATTGCCAATCACAATATGTACTGCAGCTCAAACTCGAATAAACTAACATCCCCCTCATAAACGAGCCACATCAAGTTATTTTAATTATATGTATTACAAATACCTCATACAAATATTGAAAGTCTAATATGAAAAAGCGATCAGAATATTATGAGATTTGTACCATAAAATAAAGGAAATTAAAGCATGGAAAAACTACAAACAAAATATCATGTTTTCGTTTATAGAAACTTCGACAACTTTTTGATAAATAAGTAGAAATACTCAAAGTGATAACTCTCAATGCAGGATTTGAAAAAAAACATACAGTGACACAGAATTTAGCAACATTTTGTGGAAATCAATAAAATGATGAAAATAAGGATTGCAAGCAGACAAAAGTGAATGATGATATTAGCAGAGGAAAGCTGTTTTGTAAGATATGTGCGTACAGTGAGCACCAATATACTAAAAAGTTATGTTCAATACAACGCTGATAACTGTTTTCAAACAACGATTGTTACACTTATAAAGATTATTATTGTACGATTGTTTTTGCCTGATAAATGGCGATAGATAACACGTCACTTCTTTACCAGCTACACTGATTCTTCTCTGGGTAGCAGTGATAAACTAAAACAGTTCTAATATTTCAGTAATAGTATACATGGACCATCAAACTAGACGGTATTATTAGGTAAGGGATGTGTTTCTAGAATACCAAATAAAGGATAATTAGATATCTTAAAGGTCCGATCGTGTGACAACACAACTTCCAAGATTACTGACATCTGTGAAAATTATGATTTACACTAGGATTCGTCATTGACCACGACCTTTTTCCCATTTAACCTCAGCAGATGTTCCAACAAAATAATGTTGTGACAGTATCTGACTTCAAAAGCACACTACAAAATGTTACAGAAGACACCATGATCAAAATCAGACAATTATTTAGAAGCTTATGGATACTACCCAAAAATGAAAGTAAAAACAGTGATGTCTAGTGACATTATCTATATCGACTTCTAATTGATAATCTTGAAAATTTCTTCCCGTTCAGTCAACATATTACCATTTTAACTAAGTCTATTTAGTTTATTGCAAAATCCTTATATTTGAATTAGCCTCAATATACTGTGCCATTCCAAGGTATAGAAAACACGGATCCAAATTCATGTTAAGCTATAATGTAGTTATCTTCACTTTTTCAGTCAGAGTAAAACATTATGACAAGTCACACAAATTGGTACAAAATTCTATTGCGATTCGATGATACGGATATATAGAGATAGTAATCTTTTAATATATTTACAAATATAGATTTTATAGGAAAACAAAAGTAAGTATTGTCAACATACAATTTTGAAGTGCAGACTTGTTCTCAATTTAGAATTGTCTCATTGGCTTCGAAAAATGATGATATCTAACAGAGAAATATTGTATTTTTGATTAAGAGGTTCTATGAAGATGACTTTCGTTTTCGAGTGGTGAACATCATGAATTTACACAAGTTGAGGCATCACAAAATCAAGAGTTATTGAACAGTTGCTATTTAAGTACAGAACCACTTAGCAGCGCTCACTAACGACAAAGCAAAAGTTGTAAACAGGACATTTGAGCCGTTCCATCCAAATGGTATAAGGGTTAAATGTTTGTCGAGAGAACCGAACATCGTGAGGTTTGATTCTAGACAGGATTGTGTGTGTGCACTAATGAAGAGTCCCACATTACGAAGAGTTATTCGGTTCTTCTTGGTACACATAGCTGTCTAAACTGATATGTGTAAGTGACAAAGGCCACCCACAAGTAGATGAAGGTCAACTTAGCAGTTTTGAATGGTGAAAATTCTCTAATCCAAATAAGGAAGGAAATAAGATGAAACACTACCACTTTTAGACAATGTGGTAATGAAATATTAAATGCAGGAATGAAACATAAATGACACTAAACAACACTTTATCCTAAAAATTAACCTGAAATAGATGCTGAGAAATGGAAAATCAGAATTTGAATGCTAATTAGAAAACATACTTCGCGTAAACATCATGAGATGCCACATGTTGAGTGGAATAGTAGTTACAAAAAAAGATAATAATGTGATTAAAATTGGCGGCAAAAAAGCATAATGACTGAAATTTACAATTGCACATGTACATTAGGTTAAAGATGAGAATTTCAGACTAATCAAAACAAAAGATGCATAATAGATAGAAATAGCTCCCATGATGAAGTACTTGAAAAAAATTACAGTATGTAGCATCAAGCTGTACACCATTATCCAAACAATGTAGGTAATTGTTAGTATGTTATTAATGTGAAGTGGGTTGGAACTGTTTATTCACGGAATGGACACCGGAGTTCTAAAGTACTGATCAATAATAGTGTAACAATGTAAATATTAATTAACCGAGGTCATTATGACACTAGGTGTATGTGTTGAGGGAGAAATATGCATAAATACATATGACTAAGAAGTTTAGATTCGGCATTACAGATTATTAAAAGTACTTTCAAAAACAGAGACACACAAATATGAAACATGTCAAAAACGTCACTAAAGAAATGCGTTCAGTCGAAAAAATTAAATCCAAGTCAAGTAATCCAGGAGAATGAAAGTAAACTTTATGAAAGCAAAATACTACATGGAAGTGAGCACCGAGTAATTATTCAGCAACACCATACAATATGTTTACCATTAGAAAAATGATCTCTTCATAAAAGATGACTGGGAAAGGACCGATATCATATTTATCTGGTTTCTTCGTTCTGACCCAATTCTGTCGATCAAGTTTCGATGTAACAAATAATTTGAGTAACTTGGAATTGCATGGGCAATGTTGAGATTTTAGGTGGTTGAAGGTACTCAACAGAAAACCCTGAACCTACGTTCAGTGCCACTTGATGCTATTAAGAAAGGTGTATGTACAAACATGAGGGAACTGGTGCTCCTACTGTCACCCAGTGATCACTTAATTGTTATTATCTCGGTCTTACAGGTTTTCATTAGAGGCCTGAATACCTTAGTGGTAACGACTTAGACTGTGAAGTAGGCCGAGACAAGGTCGGATTTGCCACATAGCACTAGTTCCCTCAAAACCACATATACACTTTCCTAACGAGTGCCAAATAGGACGAAACCCGGGTCGGCGGATTCCTGTAGACTAACTCCGACCATCTAACTCACCCAGTTTAGAAAAATACATAAAACGAAACTTTTTAGACGATATAATGAGACTTTGTGCTACTTAATCAGCTAGCCAAAATGAAATACTGTAGAAAAAGTTTTTTAAAACAACGTATGCCCATTGCTTATATGTAACGGCCACCATTTTTGTAGTCCAAACTTCCAAATGAATACCTAAAAACAATTTTCTGGTCTACAATGAGACCGAAATCAGAGGGTTACAACAAATTTCTGATCATAAAGTGAATACACGTTTTCAGGTTATGTGACAGGAACGTTTAGAATCGGTAAAATATTATGTGAAATATGCACGTCGGATATTATGCTATCAAAGTGACCTCTTCGTTTCAAACAATTGACTTATTTACTGCATATCACATGTAAGTAGAGAAGGTCATCATACTTAACAGAGTTTAAATTGACTGTTCATCAGTCATATGAAACGTAGAACCCGAGATATATGTACACTGGATCATGCTGCCAAACTACAACAGTACGAAATCCCATAGAAGAAAAAGAAGTAGTAACGGTCTCAATCGAATTATTAAAAAATATGGTTCAAGAACAGTAAATTTGTGGAATAAAGTAAAAATAATTTAAAAACCTAAGATCTGAGGCAATATAAATAGTGAATGTAAGTGTAATATTCTCATACACATCAAATGTCTCTGAATAAATGATTACGGTGATCACGAGGAACTTAATGAGGCAATCCACGCCTAAATACACAACTCAGCCCAACAATGGCTTCAGGAACTGATGTCACGTTGTGGTTTGACTGTTTTTAGCTTTATTTCGACGCATATATGTGCGCATATTCATGCAATCTAACAAACAATACATGAAAAAATATTTAATAATCACTCATTGTGAAGAGCGTTGAATCTTCATCACTTACTGATCTAAGTTCGACAACCATTAAAAGCCAGGAGGTATTGAGGTGCTTTTTCGTCCTAATATAAGACCCATCAACAGTGAACATCCATGACTCCTCTCCACGGAGGACCGAACCCAGGACATTCGTGTAAGCTGAGAGCGCTTAACCTATAAGCCTCGGAGCCGGCATCGAATGGTGTCTGACTTAAATCAATTCGCGATATCTCGAGACTATTTTACATTACCTGCAGTGGATAATTGCCAATCATTGACTAAGACCAATCCGCGATATATTCTACGAAAATATTTGGCAAATAATTAAATTACATTTTTGAATCCAACCATATTATCCATAAACAAACATAAGAAGAGAGTAGAAAACACTTGGAAGCACAATAATAATATGGTGAGTGACTTTTTAAATCATTACACTATTTTTCTGAGAACAGGACAATCCCAATATATAAACTGCCAACCAAAACAATAATAATAACTCAATACATACAACAAAGTGGCATAAAAATAAACGAGCTAAAACAGAAACACATACCACTTGACCATCTCATCATTCTTTTCAATAATAGAGTTTCCAAAATAAAATCACTAAATAAAGAAATTATTTCTCAACTTACACGTGAGACCCAGAGTTGTGATAAGGAAAAGGTCGATGAATAAAAATTGCAGGTCAGAAATATTACTGCCAATCTGGTGAGAAAGATGGAAAAAAAAACAAAAAAATGTAAGAAAAGTACCACTACAACTACCAACCACAACAAAATGATCAAAGAAAACAAGTGCTTAATTTGTAATCGGAATTTATTATTTTGCTTCGTTTACAAATTGCATTATTTTTCAATTTATGAAACAATACGTCTATAATTATAATTCGTCTAAAGGAGTGAATATTTTACTGAACACTATTAATACCTACTTAAATTATTTGTCTTGATTTACAATCTGAAATGAGTATAAATATGCAAATAAAGGGCGGCCTGCTTGAGCATCTGGGCTACCTGTTCCTGTCATCTAGATATTCCAACAAGTTATCTATTTTTGTTTGTTTTAATATATCATTATGTTTATTAATCGCATAACCTATTCTGCTGCGTTTCTGAAAAGTGTACAACCTTTCGTTGTCAAAGTTACAAAAAACTCAATAAGAGACAATGTGGTTGCTGGCAATATACAACGAAAATAATGTACATTATTCAGATGTTCATTTATTGAACTGCTAACATCTAACTGGCGATCACTCAATATTTATCGCCATGACCGACCAAGAAGAAAGAAACGGAAACTTCTTGAAATACTTTGCGCTGAGAATTCTATATTGTACCAAAAATATAATATTGAATAAAGCTGATGATAATAATAATAATAATAAAATACAAGGTATATTTAGGTATAATTCAGGCACACGGTTGATGAATTCATTCAACACATTAATCATGGTATGTACCAGTCAAACACTGGGTTGGAAGGGAAGTGTAAAATCATACAGCAATGAAACCCAAGTCTTCTTGCTGTTTGCCATCAGCGTCAATCTATTTGAATTCGTCAAACAGATTCGAAATGTGTTCACGAAGGAATCAACAGATAACAAAACGAATGAATCTGACTGGTGGTTGAGAACTCTCCCCAGTAAGCACTATCAATACTATTATTATCACTACGATTGTATTCAAAACAACCGTTTATTCAACTCCCAGATAAAAACAATTGATCTTACACCAGCACTCACACTTTTTCGAATTCCAGTGATGTGTAGACGGCACTTTATCGTTTAGAGCATTTGGCTTACCACGATAAATATACACAAAAAAGATTAAGTCTTTTGCATACAAATGATCTTTGGAGATAGACCGATATTGACTACAAGGAAACCGTGAATCGCACAACACAAGCAAAAATACGAGAACAGCAGATAAGGATTTATGATATAAGAACTGTCAAAGTTCTACTTGGCACTAATTAATCTAACAACATGATGTCTGAAAACCAAATACCAGCAACTAACAAATAGAACTAATTTACTAAGTCATGAAATCGCTCCTACTTAAAACATAATTACAAGTCGTATACGACTGGAAGGAATAACTTCAGCAGGTCACTCACATGCCAATCAATATAATACGTGTAAAACAAATCAATATACAACTGGCAACCTGAATTCACCTAGTAAGCAATCAGCGATTTACCCAGTATAGTCACATATTTACTAACTAAACTTCATTTTAGCCAAAACAGTATGGTGATATTAACGTAATGATCGAAGCAAAGCAGATAATCAATGAAAATGAACAATCATCTGGTGGCTCATTTATAACTACGAAAATAATACTCAAATGTGGTTATGGAAATAAATAAATAGAGATTTTAAACATAGATCAAGTGTGTAGAGTTTCAGTTTAAATACTTCCATATCATAGTCAATGCAGGAAACTGGAATACATATTAGAGCTCTTCCTATTATTTACTTCTCTTAATAATGTGATTTTACCAGGAAAAAACACATTTTGTTTTGCAACTTTTATGTATCCACTCCTTCCATTGTTTAATTTTCCAATTCACTCTTACTAATGCCATAGAAATTCTACTATTTCTACCACGAAGAAACACGCTTGACTAGAAAGTAATTTCAATTAATACACAAAAGTATTTGACGTGAAATTATAAAAGTATGCTTAAAAAATATTAGATGCAATGTTACTAATCATCAAAACAATCAAACCTGTTTCGATCATTTCTATGGGAAAATAATGAGTCAACACTATATATGTACCAGAAAGGGTATTTGGAAATCTTAGTAATTGCAATAGTTGAAACCATGAGTCAATTGAAGCTAGACCCGGTTTTCCATGGTGGTCTAGCTTCAATAAACGCATGATTTGACTATATACATTTTTATACATTTTACACAACAGTTTTTCATTGAAAAGTCTTATTTTTGAAAAACATTTGAAGTGTCCAGATAAATTATTATAGCACGTTACAATATGATCTTAACAAAAACTCATATTTAAAAATGGTAATAACAATTAAATGAAACTTCTTTTTTGGGGAAACCGAGAGATCAGTCGACTACTTTAATATGGTTTCAAAGTACCGTTGATGACAAACAACCCTAGGAATTATTAATTATGAAATATAGGTGAATTGAACCTCGATAAAGATTATCCATCTTCTCGTTTAAAATAAATGTCATATTTATAATATAACATTCGACCATTAACAATTTAACCTGTGTTCTATGGTATTTCGTAATTTAGTTACAAATGACTAAACGTTAACAAGTACATCGACTGCAAACATAAAAATACCATTCAATGAAATATGGCCAAATTAAACTTGACAATATTACCGTAAATGAAATACCTTATTGTATTTCATTGAAAAATAAAGCGTGTTGCAGCCGGAAATCTTAGTACAGTTCACCATACATTCAATTTCTACAAAATGCTCAGACACATTTGAGTCCTTAGTTACATACACACAGAAATGATTTCAACAAATAACCAATAATTAATTTATAGAATAACAGATGAATCTAAAGTGCCAGAATAATAATTAAGAACTTAAAGGATTTAATTAATTTTCGTAATAATTTAAAAGAGTTTGAACTAAACAGAAAAATATATTCCATTTTGTAAAACTAGGTACCTTTTGGCAAAATACCTAACAAATCACTAAACTACTAAGTTGGTAATAAGAAAATTCATTAAATTTTATTGAGAGGAACAGATTTTCTGAAGAAAAAAAAACAAAAATTATTTACTAGTCACATGGATAATGTGTTTTATGAAATGAAGTTGATGTGGTGAGTAAACAAAAAGAAAAATAGAATTCACAATTTTACTGTTTACAAGGCAAAAATGAGAAATAAAAAAACTCAACAAGAGAAATGTATTGGAAAATAAAATGTGTGATTTTAAATGTATTAGGGTTTAAGAAAATGAAGCCATTTCAAAATGAAATAATTGTTAAATTATTAGCCGATTAATTCAATATTCATTAGATTGTAAATAGCCCAATATATAAAGTAATTTACAATAAGTAATGGATTGTTATAACTCAAAATACCTTCTTAATAAACAAACAATGAATAATGGTAACGAATACAAAGAACGAAAGTTAGGCAATGAGATCTAATGACAAGCTAGACAAGACAGGTTATACATGTCAAGGTAACTGGTATGTGAGAAGTATAAATAAGTCACATCTTTGGAGTGATTTAGTCACCTGACCAACGTCACAGCCCATAAATCATTTATGTAAACCAGTAATATATATATATATATATATATATATATATATATATATATATAAGCTGTGCACAGATCCTTTGGTATGGTGATCAAAACTTCATAATCATTCTAAGAATTTTAACTTGCGAATAGAATCCGCCAGGCATTTGGGATGTATACTGTATGTATACTGCAAATGTAGTGAACTTGCGAAACACAAAACTAACACAGCTTGACACAGAAAGTAAAATCTGTTTTATTCTATGGTCAGATTACGTTATGTTCTGAACGACTGACAAGGCAGTTATACAGATAATCAAAACTGTGTGAAGAATTTTCTTACACATTAGAAATGCTTACACGTAGCGAATTGCCAGGTTTAGTGTAAAATGTGAGCAGTGATGAATAATTGTAATGACATATCCTCGTGAGACAGCAAATGCTCTCTCTCTCACACACATATCAATAATTGCTGAGTCTAATTAACAATGAAATGGACATTAAAACTGCAAATTAACAAAACAGGAAAATTTAGCATAAAAGTATCACTGACGTTAAAAATTTTCAGTCATGAATAAAAACAGAACACTGACAGATTATTTTGAAATAAGACAACTAATGACAAACAGCATTTCATTGAAAAAATCAGTCTTAATTATGTAAATAACAAAAAAATTGTTTGATCTTAATTTAACTACTGCATGATGCAGATAAGTATCGTCATAAAAAATTAGCAATAATGTTGTAACCGACTTCACTTGTTGGCACCGAGAAAAACTGAGAATTCAAAGAAACACCAAAACCAAACTTACATAATATAAAAGTATAACAGAGAAAAATTGAATCATTGAATAACCGACCATAAATTTAAATGCACCAAAACTAGTAGTCAATGCGCAACGACCTTCACGAATAAGTGTAGGCACACAACTAATATTTTGTTGCTTCGATGTGAAAGGACTAGCAACACTGGCTTCAGCTTCGCTTAATGCAATTCCAGCATGTGCTACTTTCAATGCACCACAATCGTTAGCGCCATCACCACACATTGAAACAAAATAACCAACTGATTGAAGTGATTCAATCAGTTGAGCTTTCTGTTCCGGACGAAAACGAGCAAACACAGTACACTTCACTACAAGCTGAGAAACGCACACACAGAAAGAAAAAGAGAAAACAATCAGAAACAAATCTAAACACAACAGTGCTATTAACATTGAAATGCTCACGCTTCGAAACTAAAGATATATTGCAAGGTGGATAAATCTCGAAAGAAACAGGAAAAGGTATACAAAAAAGTGTAGTAAAAAACTATCATTTCACTTCTTGTGCTGTCCTTACCAAGCATTCGGTAGTCCAGATCATCATTCAGAGAGACATGGTGAGATCTGATCAGTTTAGAACAAATGAAATAGATCTGAAAATCGTGAGACTAATCAAATACAACGACGTTTCGCCGACCCAAATTTCGGTGAAAAATACCGTAGTTTCATAACTACAAGTGGACAGATTACAATTGGCTGATAATTGATTAGTCACTGATATCGTGTCTGTCTAGTCCTTTGAGTGTTGACCAAACTCCATCCATGACGATCCGAATCCCACATAGGGAACCAGTACTCTCAGGTGCACCTCGCAGACAAGTGTTAGTTAGCGAGAAACCCAGGTCAAAACTTTCTTATCGACTACGTCCAACCAGCAAACATCAAGTGGACAATTATTTTTAAATGCGTTAACAAAACGCCAACACGTCATAAATGTATGCTAATTACTGAGTTAGTACTGTTGAAAAAATACTGTGTATAACATTGACGCAAATCCAACTATGTACACACTGTAAGATGTGTGGATATCAAATTTAAAATTGGGTGTTTTCCATTTCGGTAAAACAGCACAAAACTTGTTTGTGCCACTGCACTTTGTTATCACACTGTTTTGGTTGTACATTGAATGTATTTTGCATAAGAAAGTACACAAAATTAAAGACTAAGCACTCAAGCCTGTTACAATGATGAAGTATTTCAAACAGTAAAAGTCTAAACATTGTCTAGCGACAAGTACACAAAGCTGAACATGTATATACGTCATACATTATTTTGAGATTTAGCATACATTTTGGCAATACTATGATAAATGTATCACCTACACAATAAAAATTATATTATAATGAATAACAATATATCCATTATTGGTTTATAATATCGTTCCTTATCAACCCACATAATGCTTCGGCTACATAAAACACGTCTGCTGTGTGAATAATACATTTCTCTACACAAATGATAGGAATTTTGAACTTAACACCTAACTAACGATCATTAACACTACGAGTTCACCTCAGTGAATTAGTCGAACGGCTATGTCCATTTCAAAATCACCTTCGATATACATTGATAATCCATTATTACTCACCTTTGGTATAAGCCAGGGATAATATTCTCGTATGATAGCCCACGTCTTACCAGACATAGCTAGGTGGAAATCAGGTCGATCGAGCATCCGTATAGATACAGAATGAGTGGGATTCAAACGACGATTTGATACCGAATGCAAATCATCTTTCGAATAACATCCACTGCTTCCTATTTCATAATGGTGATGTTCTCGTTGACCGGATGAAGAAGCACGAGGATGACCATTCACTGAAACATTAGGCACCGCAGTTATATCTGTCAGTGGACTTGAAGACGGTGAGGAATGCTGTTCACATCCCCGTGAACTGAGCGAAAATCAAATTAAAACAAACAAATACACACAAATAATAATCGTGGAGTTTAAAGATTTAAAAGTGTTCCTCAAAAAAAAAACACAATTAATGGATAGTGAGATATTTGAGTTGTGAATAGCTTCAGATCACTGCGGTCACACCAAAACACCAGGGAAACGTTATTTGACGAATTATTAGTTCGGTGTACATATCTTCAGTAAACGTAATCCAGTAGTTGGTTAGTCGAATAATGATTAACATACTCAGCTTCAACCCATACAATTTGTGGCAAACGTTAACGAAGTTATGCGCAACGGAATTAGAACTGTCCACCAAATAGGTCACACTGGAATCTATTAATCATGAATCCATCGTTCCGTAGGAAAAGTCGTTCATGCAGATCTATAGTACTCAATAGTCAGGATGTTTATATCATGAGGTCTCGCATCTAGTTACATAATTTCGAACTGTCATACAATGGTGAACGGAAATCTGCGCGATGACTCCAATGACTTCTGATCACCCAACTTCTTGTAATTTCAACAGCATCTAAACCATAAATCCTTATGTACTATGTTGTAGAAACATATGCAGGGTTTTCAGATGTCACACGATCCAGCTAGTTCAAGGTTGAGTGAACACTTCTGAAATTAGTGATTGAATTATGATCGTTACTTGCGAACTGCCCTGTTTGTCAACTAACTTTTAACAGTATCTGTGAACGCACAATTGTACAATGCAGATAAGTTTAATATCGAAATATGGCTTGAAACAGGAGAGTGAGTAATCGTATGGTTGACTAAGTACTCCATACAGATAGTCAAAAAACTAAATAGAGATCAAAATGTAGAACATCCCAACTGATTCAAGATGTTATTCATGAATAATCCAGTGCTGAGTTGTTAGCATGCAACTTGAAGCTCAGAGATTTCAAGGTACAAGTAAGGTAGAGATAAGATCTGGTAGTCAATGTTCGTCAACAAAAGCATTAGCATTTACTTAGGCTGTACATTCGAATTTATAGTTGTTTGGTAAATATATATAGGTCTATAGAAAGATGGAAAAATACCACGCAAATGGTTCAAGGGCTATGTTAATGAAGAGGAAATTATAAAGCGGATATATAGGTAAGGTATACATAGTAGAATGATCACTGATGACGTGGTTCCTAGAGGGTTTTCTAAACAGTCTAGATGAAAGCGATTACATTTACATAATGGAAAAAATAAATATTGGTTTAGTAGGAGATTTTCACAAATGAATTCATATGAACTTACACACACGGAACATCTTCACACAAGCGATGCATCAATTTTCGAGATTTCCTACTACTCCTTACAGAGAATGTGTGCGGATCAACATCAGTTTCAGTCGAAGTATTATTAACAGGTTGAGATCTATGAGACTTCCTCGTTGTTCTTGTTTCAGTTGTAGCTGTCACTTCAGTGACTGGTTTGTGTAAATCTTCAGCATAATGAAATTCAACTAATGAATCGTATTGTTGATTGAAGAAGTTTTCCTCAAATAAAGAATTCGCTGCATTAAAACTTGAGTGTGTACGTGGTCTATTGTTGTTTCTTGTTCCTTGTGATTGTGTCAACGAAACAAATGGTAAACTAACATGATTTGAAGAAGTATGACTGTGTGGTTGATCACTGGGTAGATCAACTTTGGTAGAACAAGTTACAGAATCATTCGGACTAGATGATTGAACATGACGAGGAAATGGTGGTGGTTTTGCAGACACAAGAATAATACGATCCAGTTCATCGATCATCTCGCAATCTCGAGCTACTGACAATGCAGTCAACATATTATCACCTAAGTAAGAAGGTTGAATGATGAGCAACAACGCATATTGTCAATTCATATTACCAACAAACGTAAATTGCAATTGACAAGAATTATTAATTTATGAAGTTTCATTGCGTCACAAAAATTGAAAGAAAATCATGTAAACTATTTCAGTTTAATTTTTATTACGTGAAAAACTAATTTCAGAGAGTTACTTATCGAGAAAAAGAAGCAAAACTCTAATACGATGATTCAAAGAAAGCTATGAAACTGTTATGCAATACACTTGACTTATTAACTTAAGCCTAGATCAATAAAACGCTTTTTAGTTTATGAGATTAAAGAGAACGTGATTTCTAAATAAAATGACGTAGTAACGATTACATTTTGCAGTAACCTCAAATGAATCGTGACACTTTATGATTATATTCACACTGTTAAAATCATATGGCAACTTAACGAGAGATACATTCATATAACAAAGAACAATTTTTATGTTCTTCCAAAGTTTTAGAAATTAGTGGGTGAAAATACGGATACAGATTTTATAATAAGAAAAACACCTGAGATATAAATGTACAAGATGTTAAAAATAACTCTTTTGGGATTTCATAAAATTTTCATAAGAATAAAAAGTAGAAATTATTCAAATCGCATTAGTCAACCATGTTATCTGTCAGACAATGTGTTCATGGTAAGCGGTAAAAACTCCAGTAAAAAAGAATTTGAATTGTCAAATTTAAGAAAATATAAACTAAGCATGAAAGAGAAATCGAAATATTAATGAAGCTAAAATTAATGATTAACAAATTCCATAAAACTATTCTTTAATTACTAGACCTAATACGAAACTGAAATTTTATTCTTAAAGGTCAGTCATCAAAGTAAATACTAAATAATTATGTAAGCGCCTATTCTATTGAATCATGATTAGTAGGAGAGGTAAAGAAAATCTAGAATATTTTTACACCTCTTTCAATTGTTAGTTATTGGGATAAGGAATAATTAGCGATATTGTTAACGTGATTTGTCAATGGTTGTCTGTTCAGTCGTCCCAGATGCATTAGTTCACAGTAATTCAGTAAGTATATTTGAGATTATTATCTAACAAAATAGTAGTGACTAACAGTGAAAATTCAAGATTTTTAGCCAGTAACGTATAGAACTACTAGAAATTCGAACTAATTGTTTGTTTAATCTGTCATCGAATGAATCCAGTGATATTTCACATACTAATCAGATTGGTAGCATTAGTTTGGAGTTTTCTTGCACATTGGAATGACAAAATCATATTAAATATTAATTCAAGTAGATTTCTTGTTCAATTATCCAATGTTGATGTTTTAAAAGTACGGCTTAGCGCTTCACACATAGAATACACTATTTATAGAACGTTGGACAAACGTATTACATCAAAACAAAAAACCTCACAATTCCTCAAGTAAAAGGGTTCATAATTTGAAGATAAGCATACACTGTAAACTGAAGGAACAAAAAAGTACTTTATCGATACTAGGAAAAATGATCAAACACCAAGATTTAGTTAATGATGTTGCACAAATTAAAAATAACATTTACATCAGCTACAGATAAGACATATATCTAATGATATACTGTCGACTGATTTATATCAAAAAATGTTTCTGTACATTATTCAAATGAAACCAGTTGTAAGATTTTCGGCTAACTATGAGTTAACGCCAAACAGTTGAAAATGAACCTAGAGTGAACGCTATCCGTTGTAAGGATTGAAGTGTAATTCTTACCGTCCAAAAGATGAACAATCTCAAAAAGAAATTAAATCTCGAAATATATATCTCTTTTATTAAATAACAATTACAATCTGTTATAAACAGTTTAGTAGATTGCCACTTTATTTCTGAACCATCATGGGAGAGTTAAAATTTGGCTTAATAATAATAATTTTCTGCAAACATTGATTAATGATTTTCAATAAAATTATAAATCATTCTAAATCACATGTTTATGAATATTTTACAATTAAATAAACTTAATAATGAATCTATAGAATGCCACTGGTATTTATATTCTGTATATTATTGTCAGTTAAGGAATTATTGCAAAATAGATAACTGAGATAAGATGAAAATGATTATTTTTTGGTTAATCTAACATCTTATCATATCTGAAACTCCAAAAAATGGGATAATGCGTTTGAAAATACTTATTATTCCATAAAATTTGAAATAAAACCCACTTTGGTCCATTCAGATTCCATACTTGCATAATATTGATAATTACATTGAGAAATACAAATTACAGTCTATAAAGTTGCTTCATTACTAAACAGTATCATATTTTTCATCGTACAAATTAGTTAAGGGTATCAGTTTAATAGAACCTGTTGTGACTTATTCAGAAACGTACACTGGATGTTCTATTATTATTAATGGCCGTAGAGATGGTCAAAGGATAATAGTTATGTTGTAGTGAACGAAAATGCAGGTGGAGGAAACCAATTTATTGTTTAATTCAACCAAAATAAGGAAATCATACCTTAAATACATCATTTGCATATCTTCTTCACATTACCATCTACATACTCTATCATTCCTCTAATTATCTTGTTATTTTGATTGCTTTCTGATTTCTTCATTTCAATCTTCTGCTACCAGGCATTCCACTTCTGGTTGGTGCTACATACTACTTACATTTGACAGCAAATGTAGCAAACACGACAAGATTATTAGTAAAATGAAACAGTTCCAGTGGCACTAACAATATGCAGACCAATTTAACTACATCAGATAAGTCGAATAACTAACATACACAGACGATTCAACGACAGTGCAACCGAATACAAATGAGAAATAAAACTGTCCTAGATAAGGAAATTCTAAAAATAGTAACACCAGATAAACACTGATCGTTAAGTAGATGGGCTTAAGAAGAATGTCGAAGCCAAGTTGTTTGGTAGCTTATCCTAAGAGCCCAACATGGGGAACAGAAGTCAAAGTATAAACGAAATTAGTAATGATAATAATAATACACTATGACGATGACCAGTATATATACAGATTTAGAATATACGAAGTTTAGATTTAATGTTCACCTATATAAGCTGTAGTCACTAACTGTTCAAGAAAATAATCTAGAAAAGACCACTTCCAAAAAAATCATATTGAAAATGAACACATCAATGAAAAAGAAACATACCAGTTACCATTACAGGTCGAATATTGGCATATCTTAAAGTTTCAATCACTTGAGTTGTTTCCGGTTTCAAACGGTTCTCCATAATCAATAGACCAAGAAATTGTAGATCTTGCTCAACACGTTCTCTAGATACACGTAAAACTTTTGTATAGGTTGCTTTCAATGGTTTCCAAGCTAATGCTAAAACTCGATAACCTTCACGTGTGTATTCCAACAGAGTAGAATGGAAATCCCTAGGAACTAAAGAATAGAAGAAAACAATAACTGAAGTTCCCTAAAAAACACAACTGATATGTAGTTTTATCCATACGTTCAATTAAAAGACGGCATAAATTGTGGGAAATTTCGATAAAATATTGATATATGTTTAATAATATTTCTTTGGAAAACATCCAATATGAATTTCATCTGATCTGAAAATGGACACTGGCATATGATATGCTCAGAGAAGCTAAGTATAAAAATATTTATTGTGATAAAGTTGTTTGTTTCATGGTTAAAACAAACAAATGATATAATAGATGAAAATCAAATAACAAACCAATAATAATAATAATAATCTATACCAAAGAGAGCAAGAACAAAAAATATGACAGAATGAAATAGTTACATATTATTCTGTTCAATTCTTAGTTTTTATTCTCTTTAAGATATGTAAAGAAACTAAGTGTATGAAAAAATCTGTCCGTTTGATAAGTGGTAAAAATATTAACCGGTTGATTAAGTTGATTGACCCAATTAACTACAGACTATATTCAGTACTGATGAAAATACAAATGGCATAATGTTAAATAAGATTGACTTAAATAATTTAGTTAATTTAACTGATAAACTTCTAATTATTAAAATAAATGATAGAATTTTATTGTAAACTGATACAAACTCGGTAATACAAGGAGCTGGTTGGGTCATGTTTAAATCATACTGATTTATTTACATCCAGAAGGTATTGAATACCAAATTTATACAATAATAATACAAGTGTCATCTAAAATTTCTTTGCATACATATTAAATGTTTAAAGTGCAATAGCTAGAATAAATATTGATTTTTAAAAACCTTGACATTATTATGGACAAGAGGTGTCCGGAAATTTATCAAATATAACATATAGGATTATTTTATTGAATATAATGAACAAATTAATATGCTACTATGCTTTTATTACAATGATGGAACGATTATTATTATTATTATTATTATTATTATTATCAGTGATTAAAAAAAAACTGGTTTATGAAATTTACGCGTATATGCTAGATTCTACTCAACAGGATCAACATAATACTAAAGTGTACGTAATTGGGCATGAAAAAAAAAGCTAGGGAATATTACTTTTTAATTACGATATAGCAAAAACACTAACTAGAGTTAGTTTTATGTATTAACTTAGTAGTAAAAGCAATTAGCTGTCATTCAATAAGTTGTAGGTCTGAACCTATGTTATACAAATTCTTTTATGAACACTATTGTATTTTCACTAGCGCTTGTACATGTAGTACACAGCAAAACTTATTACATAAAATAACAATTTGTAAATGAATTGTATGACTTACATCTAAAAATTTAAGCATAAAGATGGCACTAAACACTTTTCTAGTTAACGAAAACATATCTTAAAAATCAATGGTAATATCAGCTTAGATACACCCCTTTTGATTTATTAAACCACCAGATAGAATTTAACGATTCATACTAAATTATCAAATAAAAACTGTTGTATGCAAGCGAAAAATAAATAAATGGTAACTGCTATATATATATATATATATATATATATATATACCTTTCATTTGACCTATTGACTATCATACGATTTACAATTCTTAAGTTATTCTCTATTAATTCGTTGTATATAAACTGCGTATGTCTGAAATACATGATTCTTACAGTAGAAGCTGATAACTGTACTTTGGATTGAACCGGCTGAATTGGACTAGAAGCCACTATACAGGGGACCAATAAGAACTCAGAGTTGATTCAAGGCTGCTAGTGCTGATTAATGCGTCATTAGTTTAGCAAAGGGACAACGTCATATGCGTCGATGTTCTAATCGGCGATTTAGCCACGTGATATTTGATGGGGCTTAGGACATAACACAAAATATTATGAAATCTGATAAATATTGCTGTTCTTTTATAATTTAAAAGAAACTTGATTATGATAATTATTTAACTGCTTTAAAAGAGTTAATACAACAAACAATCCTCGAAATAATCACATCTTAGAGAACTCTAACATTAGTTTGCCCAAAACATATGAAAAAGATCAATTGTTATTTCTTTTTTAACAGTTTATATACTAGAATTACTGAGTTATTGATTACACAACAAGAATGACTGAGAGGTTAATTGCCTACAAAATCTATCATGAGAAAAACTTTAGTGACCAAGTAATCGGATACTAACTAGAGAAAAACTGAATTGTCACCTGTAAACAATTCTCAATAAAGATACTATAGAATGATAGCATGTTGATTAGGCACACTATGAGGATGTATTTCTACCCATCGTATCGTATACACTATAGAATTCAACATGTTAATGCTTACTTCTTTATCTATACACAAATCGTGAACAAATACAATACTCAATAATTAAATGACGAACGTGTTTCGAAACAGTGAACAATATATTCTATTATGTTGTCAATATCTGTTTCCAATCAATTGGATTATGGTTCACAATTATGCAATAGTTGATAAAATTAAGCAACTTAGAAAGTTGTTTCGCTCATAATTGTAATCCATACGTAATTTCATTTGAAGACTATGACTTATTGGTTAAATCAAAAGATTTCAAACTTCCATCAAATCAACATAAGTCACTCAACATACAAATTAATCTTAAAACAAAAGCTAAATATAGTCGGCTACCTTCAGTCAGCTAATATCCTAATGTGACTCATATAATGTCTAGTTACTTAAACTACCCGCCACATTGTACGTTTGATAGAATTCGGTCAGCTCTAAAAGACTAGAAAAACATAAAATAGATCAAACCACTTAGTGATCATTTAATTGTATGCAAATTAATTCAATATACATTTTTTTAACACAAAAACCAACTAGATCACAGTTGAAATTTACCAATCAAACAAGATGTGAACAAATACACGATCAACTTATATCATAATTCGACAATCAATAAATAATAATTCACAATATGAATGTAAGAATTTTATATTCGTATGGTTACGGCAATTTGTGATCTTTTTGAAAAGCGGCACATGTATGCGACAAAACAAGATAAAAAGGAATGTTATATATATATATATATATATATATATATATATATATATATATATATATATATATATATACATTAAAATGGATCATCCAAAACAATGAGCAGAAAACGTGATTATCAACCGATAAATTAATTTGTTTTTTTCATGTTTTCCATATCACTAACAGTTAAAATATGTAATACAGAGTAGTGTTTGAATTTTTTTTTAAAAAAAAGTTAAAAATATAAAACTTTACAAAACAATACAAACACTAATTCATTTATGAACAAACAAACACAGAAAGATACAAATACTTGGATAGAGACAAGATGTAGCAAAATTACACTCTTTTAAATATGTAAATTAAAATTAATTGAATGATTTGCAAATATTAATTAGTTAAAAAACATTGTAGGCTAGAATTATATATTTACTGCTGAATGTCAGTGTAAACTACAAAATATCGAGTAAATTAGCACAGTTATTATAGTGACTGGAAGTAGTAGTAAGTATTGAATAATAATAATAATAATAATAATAATAATAATAATAATAATAATAATAATAATAATAGGTTGATTAGTCAAGAAACTGTATTTAACGATTATCACTGACCTACAAATTCTGTTGATTAGTTTAATGTTTAGCATATCCACATGATATAAATAATACGGTATGTTATGATTTCTCTCATATACGACCCAGCGACTCTTATTGCTGAGTACTTTTGAACACTAGTTCATTCGACAAATCTCCAAACCAGAACACGGTTAAATAGGAACTTAATGATATACCAAATAACAAGGTTGGATGTTAGTAGGAATCACAGTACGAAAAACGTTAGTATTGTAAGAAGCAATTTCCTACAGGTGTAACTCTAAGTTATTCTCTAGACTGTCGAGCACAGAGTCTTGGTGTAGCCAAAGTTAGAAAAAGTAAGCTATTTGGCTTGATACACTTTATCTGCTTCTAAAACATAAATTAACACCGCTAGGATACAAAACAAATTGTTAACTATGAGTACAGAAAATAACAGACATGAATAACATACCGAACAGTAACTAGAAGATAGGGAAAATGAGTCAAAAAGGTAAATATTGTTTTACAATGAACATTGATGAATAAACAAGATATAGTCATACAAGGTCAAAGAAAGATAATGTGGTGGTGGGCGTTTCACCTTATCATTGATGAGTTCGTTTATCGATCACACTCTACAAGTACATTTATAATTTTTACAAGAGAAGATTCTAGAATCTGCTCCAAGTACCAGCTAGCGCTGATTGATTAACAATAAACAATCAACGTGCAGCAAAATAATCCTGCACTGAACATGATTTAATCCATATATATACCAAACCCACTGCACGACCAGATATCGAAGTAACCCACACTGGCCTTCCTATAGATATCACTACACCAACCATCGAGGAATTCAGCATGGTTACCAGACAAACCAAGAGTGGGAAAGCTGCAGGACCAGACAACATACCAGCTGAAGCACTGAAGTCAAACACAGAAATCACTGATGAAAAGACACTCAATGTTCTATTCAGGAAAACTTGAGAGGAAGAGCAAGTGCCGAAAGACTGGGAAGAAGAATACCTCATCAAGATACCAAACAAAGGAGATCTGAGCAAATGTCAAAACTACAGAGAAATCACACTACTATCGGTACCAGGAAATGTTTTCAACAGAATCTTCACGAACTGGATGAAATACTCAGTAGACGCCCAACTTTGAGATCAGAACATCAAATTCCACAAAAATCAGTCGTGCACAGACTAAATCGCAATACTACGGATCATCGTTGAACAAGCAATTGAATGGAACTCGTCACTTTATATCAACTTCCTTGACGATGAGAAAGCGTTCGACAGTGTAGACAAGAAAACTTTATACCATCTTCTTCGACACCATGGTGTACTTGAGAACATCTTCAACATCATCTGGAATTCATACGACGGACTACACTGCAAAGTCGTTCAGGCACACCAGCTGACAGATGCTTTCGAAGTGAAGACCGGTGCCAGACACGACTGTCTACCCTCACCCTTTTTCTTTCTTCCGGTGGTTGACTGGATTACGAAGACCACCACATATCAAGGGAAACATGGAATACAATGGATAGCTTGCATGTAACTAGACGATTTGGACTTCGCAGATGACCTGGCTCCTCTATCCCATACGCACGAACAAGTGCAGATGAAGACAACTAGTGTAACAGCAGCCTTTGTATTAACAGGCCTCAACATACACAAAAGGATAAGCAAGATCCTCAAATACAACGCGGAGAACACCAACCAAATCACACTTGACGGAAAAGCTCTGGAAGATGTGGAAACTTTCACGTACCTGGTCAGCATCATCGATGAACAAGGAGGATCCAATACAGACGTAAAGGAGAGGATCGGTAAAGCAAGGGCCGCATTCCTACAATCGAAGAACATAGGGAACGCAAAACAACTGTCGACCAGTATCAAAGTCATAATCTTCAATACGAACGTCAACACAGTTCTACTGTACAGAGCTGAAACTTGGAGAACTACTACAACCACCATCAAAAAATTACAGGTATTTATAAACAATTCTCTACGTAAGGCACTAAATGTCCGTTGACCAGATACCATCAGCAACAACCTCCTGTGGGAGAGAACAAACCAGCTTCCAGATGAAAAAGAAATCAGGAAAGGTCACTGGAGGTGGATAGGACACAAATTTCGGAGACAATCAAACTGCATCACGAGGTAAGTGCTTATCTGGAATCATGAAGGGAAATGGAAAAGGGGAAGGTCAAAGAACATACTACGTCGAGAATCGGAAGCAAACATCAAAAGGAGGAATAGCATCTGGAAAGAATTGCTCAGGATAGAGTTGGATGGAGAATGCTGGTGGGGGTCCTATGTTCCTCCACGAGGGGTGACAGGCGTAAGTAATTAAGACAACTTTCAATACTCTACTCTTCTGTTGTAGCACTGAAAAAAAAATCCATACAAGCATCCTTGTCGATTATCAATAGAATAATCTGTTACCCTCACGTTTATATAAACTTACATTATACAAATATAGATTTATCTCCAGTCAATTCTAAGATCTCTACAATGTGTTCCTTTGATTTCTACTGCATTAAATTTAAGTCATTATCACTCAATCTAGTTTATTTTTAAAAAATTTAGTGTCTATTGTTTATTATGCATCTGGATACATTATGAACACATTTAAGCGCAACAGATGTACACATATGTCATTTTGCTTGTGGATTTTATAAAGCTACCACTAATTATGGATTTACCTGCCAATCCCTAATTAACATTTCTTTATCACCAATGCAAATGGTCATTTCATACATAACCAGGTAGGTATCATAGGTCATTAACGGTTTGTTGAAAGTAACAAGTATATATATATGCTGAATGACATAGAAATATCAAACAGGACGTCAAACACAATGAAAACATATTTTAATAACATAAAATTTATGTCTGTGTGTATGCTTTAACCGAAGTAACTTGTAAACCAGCATGCTACTAGTTCGACACATTTGTCTTTTGAATACATTTTTATTAAAAACAAGTATTGAAAATTTGTCTACAGTTTTTATTAAAAATTATAAGTATATACACAATAAGTGACAATAAATTTCATGTAGGTCACATATATATTTCATGATTCAGCTTATAATGTATAACCTTTGACATAAAATTAAGAATTTGACTAAATTTGATATAAACATATAATGCTTGTGAATATCACGAATAAATCTGCAAACATTAAACTCTGAATCGAACATTAATAGACACTTGAAACATACGAGATGATGAATTAACAAAAAACTATAGCGTTTACCATGTTTCATCAATAATAAATGAACGACTAAACATTATTATTATTATTATTATTATTATTATTATTATTATTATTATTATTACTGACTCTGTTACGTAATTATAAAATATATACTAAAATTTCCACAAATCTCCAGTTATCAGTTACTTATGCGATCTGTTTCAAATTGACAATAATTACATTGATTTACACGTTTTGAATGACCCTCATTTAAGTTCAGAAAATAAAATGAAATCTTAACATCATGTACACTAAGTGGGTCTACCAATAATTCATTAAAAACAATTATCAACTGACACAAACACATTAACGTAATGTCAAGAATTTATAGTATTTAAAGTGAAAACAACCAAAATCATCCAACGCTTAACAAGGCTCTTCAGTAAGAGACGCGGGGAAACCAGGTTTGTTTCTGACTTGGGTGTGAATGTTCAGAACAAATAATCATCCTTTATCTGGTTCTAGAACATAGGGATTAATTCCAACACCCGAGAATAGTGTTTCTTAAATTGGGTATAGAATCCGACTTCATTGACTAAGAGGTTTAGTGGTAATGATGTTGAGGAGACCGATAAAATTAATCGAAAAAAGCCAAAACGGCAGCTTAAGACGTTGGGAAGCATCATATCCAATCTGCATTCACTAGACGTTTTGGCAGAAATATCTACAAAGTGAAAAGGTACATTTCACTTTTCTGATTGGATGACTACCTGTACTGCTACTATGTTTACAAGTATTCCAGACCTTTCCAAATCAAATCGATTTGAAATGCTATAAATACACAAGATTTGGCGTAATAAAAGGAACCTTGGAGTAAAGGATTCTTCCCAAATTTGGCGCAATTTCTCTTGTGTTCAAGTCGGTGTGTAGATTTAGCATGGGAGTTACTAGAAGAGCTCAGGAAGCGAGTGAACGATGCAATAGTTACGTATTAGGTAACCAACGAGATAACAAATTAGTTGATGAAAGTGTGAACTTTCATCAAGTAAGATATTTATAACCTATCTTAAGCTGTCCAACAACTCCCTCCTTCGATGTAAGATGTTGGATAGTATAACCAGCGGCTGTCAACATCTTCAGTTTTAAAACGATTAAATACATTTTGTCACACGAATTCAAGAAACTTTCTTGAACAAGATTGTACACGCCAAATCATCTTACTGTACATAATGTTAATACCACTTTGGTATACATATTTATCATTTCGTCTCAGAGTGTTAAAATGGTGTCGGAAATTGTGTTGAAATATATTTGTGTTAGGTTTAACGTTGAATATGACTGACCAGTTGTATTAACATTTTAAAAAATAATTCTTGACAATATTCACATTTTACTTACTAGTATCACATCTGCACAATAATTCAATAGTTTCAGGTGCACCTTTAGTATAGATATTGAAATGATTTTGATTGAGAGCACGAGTAATCACAGACATACGTTGTAATGAAGAACTGAATGGAAATTGACGTAAAATACCCACTTCATATGGAATATCCTACAAGTGTATGAAATCAGGATTTTCGATTTCAATAAAAAGCATTTTTATAGAACAGAGAAAAGAAGGAAGTCGTAATTTACTCAGCTGACGTGCAGCAACCTCAAACTCTAAAAATATTATAATCTATTGGAATAAGCTAATAATCCATCTATGCTTTCCAAACACTATAAATATTGTTTACCAAAATCACCTGCGTTGTATTCAGATATTCACTGTGTTTCAGCATTACTTTAGGTGATTTCATACCGTAAGTCTATAAGGGCAAGTAGTGACCATGATACCCAATTCCAATAAGTTTTAGGATGCCGAAACATAACAACAGTACTTGAAAATAAGTTCGATCACTAAAGAGCTAAACCATGAAACCATATAAACGACCATTTTGTAAATACCTAGGCAAACTATGTCAAACCAGATACCTTAGTAGCAACAATTGACCTTCATTTAGAGCTTAAGATAGTTAACTAAAACATGATTGGAAATCTTTCTTAATAGAGGTGAAGGCTTCCACAACGCGACAGAAGTCAAGCCCCATATTGGTCTTTTACTTACAACTACACTGATTCAATGGATGGGAATCAACATTCAGCTTAAATTATAGTGAATGATGCCACCAACATTCAATGTATCCATAGATGTGTTTTTCAAGTACATCTCTATAAATTGATAAAACTACATTAATCTACGGTGTAGATTATCCAAAAACAAACCACAGGTATTTTGACTTTGTAGACCACTACAGTGCCACATGTATGTCTGCTGATATAGGAACGTCAATGTAGGTGGCTTTTTAAGACAATCAGTTAAATGGACGACAGCGAAAAATAGTTATCGTCGACATCCCTCCTCAAAAAATGTAACATAATTGAGCACCGTTACCAATCTATAAGTTATATCATACGAATTGCGATTAACAGGTTTTCTCTGCTGAAATCCTTAGTTTGTAAATATCCCCAACAGACTTTCATGGAGTTTTATTAATCCAATTTATTCTGATGATATTTCCAACACACTAAGCTGTTTTGTTTCGCAGTAACATTCAAAGTGTACATAAACAACGATCCTAGGAATTCATTATCATCTCGTTGCGAAAAAAGTATTCCATATTCAAACCTTCTTTATTTTCATGGTTTGGGACTTAACTGCAAAAAGAATATCCATGGTTAATTTTCCTAGCATGAGTACAAGTTTGGTTTAGTCTGACTTTGCGCAATTTCAAAAACTTACTACAGAGTGATGGCGTGTCGTGAAACTGAATAACTGATGTAAGCCGACAATTAACTGATAATAAACGACAAGACAGTTCAGTAGAACAGGGCAACAAGGACCAGAGCAGTTGCTATGTCCAGCACAAAAATCAACACTACTCCACATTTTGTCATCAGAACATATGTCGACTCTCTCTTAGGTTGGAATAGTCGGCATTTATATCAAGTGTACAAGAAACGGCAGTGTAAAGACAGCAACCTAACTACATAACATAACTTACATCACCATTGAATTTTTCAGAAATCTTTTCCGTCAAACTGGTTTTACTGGATGGACGTACGATAGCAGGGACAGCCATTTCAAATTTACAGTGGTCAGCAGCTTCTTCGATGAGTTCCTGACAAAAACAACACAAAACGAAAACGCGATCGACAAGCAATTTGTTTACGTCAATAAACGTGTTGTCGAAGAACTATAAACATACATCCTTTAAACAAGCTTTAGTGATATTTTAGAAAATACGCCTCAAAATACCTAAATTTGTATTTTATCGAAATATATTTATTTATTTAATGGCTTTATTCAATATTATATTTCGGGACAATATAGAATTCTCAATACAGGGTATTTCAACATGTTTCTAACACAAAAAAACAGAAACAAAAACAAAATGAGGGGAAAAAGGTTTAAAAAGGATCTGAAAAACTGAAAAACTTTTCAAATAAGAGACATGTTTAGAATGCAGGTTATTGACTAGGTTAACTCTAACAACCTGTTCGTCACAGAGTATATTTGCTAGGTAAGGTATTATACAACTTTTATGCTTTCGCTTGCGTGCATGGATTTTAATGTAATTACGTTTCGTTCTACCAGAAGATATACAAGGAGAAAGATAAGAGTGAAGGGGATGGTTAGTATCTGATAAAATGACACCTGCTAGGAGTTTGCATGACTTTAGATGTCTATCCACAACTACATTATTTATAGCCTCGAAAGATTCACCACACATCCTGCTAACTGCCTTCAGCACTCTCCACAATACAACAAAGCCTTTTCTCAAAAGCCCGGGAAAGAATAATGGGGAACAGTAAAGAATAATAGTAAATATGCAAGAATTGACAAATTGTAAGAGTAAATGACGAGTAATCCCAGGAGCATGCAATCTCTTTATGTAGTAGGTCAGACGGAAAACCTTCTTAGATAACAATAAAACGTGGAAGACCAAGACAGATCAGAGGAAAAGGTGACACCAAGATGATTGACCTTCGACACGTGTTTATCAAAGGGTCTCCAATGGTACAAGCATTATGGGATCTCAAAATGGTGTTTAGATTCCGTTCATGTCTCATACTAAAGTTAACAGCTTGACATTTAGACGGATTAAGTATGAGACCATTACCAACAGACCAACAATCAATACGAGACAAAAACTCATTCATTTCTATGGGATGTAAAGAGGAAGAGATAGGCATACATACAGTGAGATCATCCGCATATTTCACAAAAGTGTTTTCTGTGGAAGATGGCAGATCATGCAGAAAAAAAGAGAAAAGAAGAGGTGAAAGAACAGCTCCTTGTGTTACACCTTCATGAGACAGCAGAGACTCTGAATACTTTCCTCCAAACACAGTGTACTGTTCCCTTCCAGAGAGGTAGGAACATAGCCAGTTGGTTATCCAGCTGTCAGTGTTGACGCTGATTAACTTGTTAAGTAAACGTTGTCTTGGTATAGAATCAAAAGCTGAAGTATAGTCCAGAAAAGCACATCGAACATACTTCTAACCCTTTTCTAAGTTGAACACTATATTGTGATGCAGAACAGCAACAGCATCTAAGGTGCTTCTTTTGCATCTGTAAGCAAACTGATATGGATCAATATGCTCTTTTATCGCAGGCTGAAGTGGAAGTATTAATAATTTTTCCATGGTTTTGAGGAAGGGTGAAGTTATTAAAATAGGTCTAAATTTCACATTCTTATCACCAGATACTTTCTTGGGTACAGGAATTATCTTCATCTTTCTCCACATTTTCGGTATGAGATTAGATGAGAAGGATCTGTTAAAGATAGTTGTGAACGGATAACATAAGACGTCAGCACATTTTTAAAAAAGGAGGTTTGGGATACCATCAGGTCCCAAACATCGGGATGAATTAAGTGACTGGAGACATCTTCGGACATCAGTTTCAGTGAAACTAGGAACACAGCTATTCTTTAAACCTGTGGATAAAGGAGCATCACATCAGATGACTGACGTACAAAAGACTTATTTAAGTCACAAACATTCAGCTGGTTATCGCTTCTAAACTGTCTGTCACCTGTAAGTTCTTTAAAGAGTTTCCACATACTTGGAGAGTTTTTGAGTAAACATAGAATTGAGACGTCTAATCTCTAGGTTTATCAGACCATTTAGCTTACGAACTTCACTATAGTTTTCATCCTTGTACATTCTTTCACCCTCCGTAGTCGTTTTAGTTGTGAAGATGTAAGTCGATCAAAACTTACAAAAATGGTTTCAGTGGGACAACAAATATCAAAACAGAATTTAAGGTAACAAGTGATAACATCAGTAGTGTTTTCCAGTGAGTCATCTGTAAATAATTCCCAGTTAGTCGTATGAAACATGTTTTTCAGATTTCGGATATTTTCTTCTGAGTAATTCCTATATTTGACTTTCTTGGTTTGATGTAAGAGTGTACTCTTCCCATGCTTTCCATATACTTTAGGTAGAACACGAATTATACAGTGATCCGAGCTAGACAATGGAGCACGTTTACGAGTCGCATATATACCCACATCATTAATGAAACGAAGTCTAAATGAGCATCCAAACGAGTAGGAAAATCTACTACGTTTTGGTGACCTAGTGACGTAAGGAAGCTACAGTCACATGAATTGAAATCACCACATACAACTGAAAGTGAATCACTGAAGGCAGTAACAGCGAACTCAGTGAATTCATCAGCGAAAACAGATAGTGCAGATGATGTGCAATCTGGAATCACGTAGATATTGGTAACATAAACATATTTGTATTTATTCAGATGTTTTGGACGACATCTTAGAGTTAGACAGTCGATAAAGTCATTTGAAAACTTAAAACACACAAACGAAGATCGACACCAGTTTATGTTTACAAACGTAGCTACACCGCCACCACACCTCTCTTTATTGTTTGATCGATCCTGACGATAAATTTTGAAATCACGTAGTGATACTGGGCAGTCATCCTGTAAATCACTTAACCAAGATTCTTGAATTGTGATGACACCACAATTACGATACATATTTTGACTTAGTAGGAATTGCAGATAGTCCACTTTGTTGATTAGTGATCGGCAGTTAGAATTTAGAAGCTCGGGAATCGACATACGATTAATGTTCATTCTCTTTAACGCATATTGCCAACCACCACGATGTCTTTTATAGTACTTTTTGTAACTTGTGCAGCGAAAGGTCGTAGGCTTTTCATAAAAGCGCCTGAATAGGTTATGCGATTAATGGACATAATGATAAGTTAAAACAAATGAAAAAACAGATAACTTGTTGAAATAATTAGATGGCAGAAACAGGTAGCCCAGATATTCAAGCAGGGCGCCGTACATAGATGTGCATTTGATAACTGTCAGAAATAAAATCCCGAAATTCAGTCTCATATACACACACATCCTTTAAACAAGCTTTTGTGATATTTTAGAAAATACCCCTCAATGTACCTAAATTTGTATTTTATTGAAATATATTTGATAACTAGCAGAAATAAAATCCGGAAATCCAGTCTCATACAGTTTGAGAATCATTCTGTTGTATGTGAATCTACCACAGGGCTTAACAAGTCAAGGTTGTGGAATCTCCTTGCTTCAAGAATTTTCCAGTCAAACTGATTTTGAATGACATCTTGGTTTTCAAAAAGTAGTAAACACACAAAAGATAGCTGAAACCATCGGTGGGGTCACAGTCAACTACGTCCAAAGTCGATCATTTTCCAAACCCTCATTCTGTCGGCGGGAACACACAGTAAGAACCTTCATGCCTGTACCATAAATATCTAGTAGGTTAATTCACATGTTATGATGTGCGAATCTGACAACGACCTTAAAGTAACTACGACATTTAGGTTTCAGAGAAGGAAAAATTGTGAGTAGAAAAAAACTAGAACCATCTACAATCCTTACCCATTTAGTTGACTGGAACATCTTTAAGTCCAGAGGATCTCCACACAGAACTCCTTCAATCAATGTCAATGAGTGACAAGTCGCTAAACATTCCATTAGAGGACCATTATCCAACTCTGATGGTTCTAATTCCGGATCTCCAAATAAACCATCTTCATAAGGAATGATACCCCACATATCCAAACCATCTTCCGTTAAAGTACCCGTCTATTAAAAAATCATGAGAAAACGGAAAAGATGTATAGTTCATTTAGATCTCGAAGCCTATTTCTGAATAACTTAATACTTCATACTGACTTTCTAACCGCTACCCACTCCACAAGATTTTCTTACACTTGAACACCAAACACAAAACAACAGTCGGAAAGTATCAAAAGAACCTCTAGTTTCAAGGTTGGTCCAGGTACAGAAAATTCATGTATCTACAGGTTTATGATGACATAATCAGTAATTATTTAGGCAGGATAAAACACATCACAAATCGTGTTCTGGGACCCTCGCGAATGTTTCTATTGAACGTCGGAAGGACAAAGTGTGTTGAGACGTTTACCAGCTTCTAAGGGAGTTTCCGAGGAACTACTGAGGTTTTCCAATAAACACAATCGAGAAAAATCACATTAGCTTGTAACATCTAAAGGAATAACACGGTATCCAACATGTAACAGAGATAAGTAGAAAATCAATCTTTATTCTGATCCAATCCGAAATTCCAAAGGCAAACACAATCATTATTAGTAAACAACATGAAAACAACTTACAAAACACTAGTGATAATATGCAAAATGAGTAGATGAATTGTTTCCACAAAACACTAAGTCACAAAAAATATCCAAGATACATATAATTACTTAATCCCCAAGACCTAGGGTAACTGGATTAATATAAAATTACTTGACTTTGTTTACTATCGACAGTAACGGGTATAAATTTGTCGACACAGTTTGATTGTTAAAATCATGATATGAAATTATTCAATTTCGTTGATTTTTAACTGTCTATGACAGTGAATTCACCATAATTTTACATTCACTCAAAGATATCATACGAGAAACAATCAGAAGGTCTGAGTAATGAACTAAGCGAATGGAACTTGTTTTAATTTACACGTCATCCGGTCATCTATAAACAAAAGTGTGGAAGAAAATGAATATTGTTAGAATTAATACACAGTTTGTACTATTGGCCACCCAATAATTTGAATATTCGATACACTGGAAACTTAGAAAATTGGTAGATTTTCAGTCCATTATGAAGCACACAGAAGTAACTATTCAACTATTTTATTTATACGATGTACAACTCATCAAATAATTCACCTTGCCACAAAAAATATCCAAGATACATATAATTACTTAATCCCCAAGACCTAGGGTAACTGGATTAATATAAAATTACTTGACTTTGTTTACTATCGTCAGTAACGGGTATAAATTTGTTGACACACTTTGTTAAAATCATGATATGAAATTATTCAATTTCGTTGAATTTTAGCTGTCCATGACGTATTTCCTGGAGATCTAGTGAGAAAAAGCGACCAGTGGAGTTCAACCGGGCCTGTTGTGAGACAGTAACTCACTGAAGACCAGGGTGGATGTGTCGCTTAAGTTCGTGGATCAGTTGAAGTTAGAAATTAACATCGTTGGGTGCCGACTCAGTGGTCTAGAGGTTAAGCATTAGCACCAGTGACCGAAGGGTCCTGAGTTTGCATCTCGCGAGGCGGGATCTTGGATGCTCACTGCTGAGCCATCCCACAATAGGCTATCCAATGCTTCCAGGTATTCATGGTGGTCTAGCTGCAATTGACTCATGATCTCAACTATCAAAGTTAAAAAGAATATTGAAAATGTCCACAGAAATTATGTATTTTCTTATAACTATCTAACAGGATAAAGTGTATTTGAATGCAACACTACAGATTATTTTTATTTGAGTGGATAACAACTACATGTGTGGTAGTCTATATAGTTCAATACAGGTCAAAACGCTAGTTAGCAATATCGAAGAATGAAGAAATATTACCATATGAACTTCACAAAACTTATTTAGGTTTCGTTCAGTCCTATTCAGATTAACTCCGTCTACTTTAATACTACTGTTAAGAACAAGGAAAACATCTTAATCCACGGATGAGGCTTGCTTAAGTGAGGATTATATATGGCTGATCACTATTGAATCAGACTTTGTATCTGTTTCAATTACGGAATAGCCTATATTTGCTCAATAAAACGAACATGAAATATAGAGAAAAACAACATTTCGTATTTTGACAAAATTTATGATGAGAAGTATGGGAAAGGTTAGTAAAGGTGGTATGGTTATCAAAGCTAAACACAGCAGGTAGGCAAGAACACAATATTCGCAGTGTTTATCTAGATTTTTAAAAAAAATCAAAATCAATAATACATGTACGTTTATTCTTGATAAGCAGAGATGGATGGTAGCTGGCAGTGAAATTCAGGGCACACGCTTTGTCCTATTCGGGACTCGTCAGATGGATGTGCCTGTACCCCAGAGTTGATGTACATTTCGCGACTCAAACCCAGCACCGTTCGCTTCAAGTGCCATTGTATTATCCACTTAGCTGCCGAGTCATAATAACCACGGGCTTGTGCGATGAGGTGAAAGTGAATTCACCTTGTATTGGTTGTTTGAATCTTCGCATTGACGCTTAGGATTGTAATTGATCAGTCACTAATCGTATATATGCAGATTACCTCGACACTGTTATCAAGTCACAAGCATTATAAACAGAGATGAATTCTTGAATTTTTTTATTAAACTAGGATTAATTTCCATTTTCTATCTTTTCCAATAATTATCCAATTCACTTTAGCACATTTTCATGAGTATTTTTATGTGAACCGGAGCTTAGTCGTTTCGGTAATGTGAAGAGGTGATTCAACTGATTATTATTTTTTAGTCTGTTAGTAGATAAAGTATTTCAGATGCTGATGACTTTCATTTTTGAAGTACAATTGGACAGTGCACCCCGTTAATGAAACGATTAAGATAATCTGATAATCGATTTGAAAGTTTAAGTTTGGTTAATAATAGACATATATAGTTGAGTTCACTTTAGTCATTGACCAAAAAATTGTCCTTAATTTTTCTCATTTTGTGTTCACATTATAAACACTAAGATTCTGATCAATCTAGCTAATTGAATGTGATTGTCATGGTAGCTGATATAGCTAACAACCCTTACATAACACTTTACGTAATATGACACAAAAAGCTACCATATGGTATTAAAAAGCATATTTAAAAGAAAAGCAAAACTCAAGACAAAACAAAGTTAAAATCAACATTGAATAGCTTAGTTGGTTTCATTGAAATCACAAGTCCAACCTAGTTAGACCACAACTGAAAGAGTGAAAGCACTGGACGACCATCTTGTTGTGGAAAGGCACTGATGAGGAGTACCATAGTGGAACGAAATGGCCATCCAGTGCTTCCAGGTTTTGAATAGTGTTTAACTTAGATCCGTTAATGATTTCAATGAAATTCAACAACCCCTACAACCCCATACTGATAAGTTAGATAATTAACAACTAATGGCACACTCAGGTAGTAACTACCCATTTATACACATTAGAAAGCTCATAGATACTAATGAAATTATGCTCTAGTATGCAGCTTGATACATGTATTAGGATTAAAATGAGTTAAGTAAAAAAAAACTATATAGTTAAAATAAGGTAATATAACAAGATCATAGTGTTGAATTGGTACTCGTAGCTTGGAGATAAATGGAAAATAAAGAAATAGGGAATAAGTAAGTGGCGAAATACACAGAATAATTAAGCATGAAAGATTTTTGAGGCGTCTGAAAGAAAAAGAACACATGAGTGTCTAATTTGTACTGTGTCACTTACAATTTATTCAGAGTCCGATGTGAGAAAAACGTCTAGAGCAGAACGGTACAGTAGAAATAGGATAGAATAACTAATAATTACGTTACAAAATAAAGGATAGAACAACCTAAGCATACATAAAAGAACATCATCATTAAGATGAATGAAAAATTAGACTGGAAAAAATACTGAAGATATATATATATATATATATATATATATATATATATATATATATATATCATGTGGATATATTTTTAATAATTTGCATGGCTGCTGATTTCACACTTTCCATTGAAACATTAGACAATTATCATCGATGACCATCGAAATAATTGAGAAATATGCAAAAAGTAGAGATAAAAAACTCCAAGAAACTACAGTAAATGAAAAACCTATTTTTATTCAACTTGATATCAAAAGTGTTGATGTCACAGGGTCAATCAATATGAAACTACAAACTGCATTGACAAATACTTATGCTGCAGCTGGACGGATTGTCCTGTCCAAAGAAACATGTTTTTCAACACAATCAAAGGTCGATAGGTATCCCTTTCATGTTATCACCACCTGTGTATACATATTTACGTGCATTTACAAGGCAGTTACATTGGTAGATTAGGAGAATCTACGTCCGATTCAAAGAACATATTCCGAAAAGTCTAAAGGTCAAATGGATTCATTTCCAATCACCTTCGTATTTATGATTATATCAATATCTGTATTAACTCTGATTTTAAAATAATATAGGTTGTAAACAGAAGATGAGAATCTAACAAAATAAAATGAATTCATGTTATTCTGAACCAATCTTCGTTCTTGCTCTCTTTAAGATTATAAAGGGAACTACGTATATCAAATTGAAATAATTATTGGTCAAGTTGGCTGTGTAACTCATTAAGTGAACATTATCAAATTTACCTATTAGTTTGCCAATTACAAAAACACTCAGTCAAACTACTAGTAATATATAGGACAATCTTTTAGAAAAACATTAGACTTCAGAGTAAACTAGTTCTATGACGACTAAAAGATACTAATAGACTGTGCTATGCCACACAAGGTTTCAACCTGTAACATAATAGTTTGAATTTCTAGCTGAACAACCTGTTTACAGTACATGAACATTATTGGTGTTTACAAGGAGTACAGCTACGACACAATCATGTTGATAGTAAACTGTGATTTACTGATTTATACCTTTTACATCACTCCTCCTTATCTCCGACCCATAAAACCAAATAACACCATCTGCCATCAGTAAATTCCGTAATCAGTAGCCTACCAGAAAAGTCTGAATTTCGTTATTTGGAGAAAATTTATTTAGCTGACGACATTAAGATAACTACATCAAATAGTCAACCATAAACAATGTAGCACATCAAGCACAAATATGAATCGGTCCAACTTTACACACCACAACGACACAGAAAGATTAAATTATCAAGGTGAATACCGAAGTGGTAGTAACACCAGTGGTAGTAAAAATATTAGGTATACACAATACGATTCGAAAATAATTGGGGAACTCGTACAATAAAAGTGAAATAACAAAACTCCCAAGCTTGGTAGGAAATAATATCTTATTTATGTGTAGTACTAATACTTTCTAACCGATGAGACAGATTTAGCTTAACTGGACATTAATTCAAGACCCCGGAGACAATTGAATCGAAATTCACCTCGGAGATAAATATAGCAAGGACATCATATGTCGTGGTTTCCAATCTATTTATTTATTTAAACATATAAACATTGGTACACGGAGGCACCAAACAGATATGCGCCACAAATCATCATTTGATTTGCGTGTGAGGGCCGGGATACAGCCCGGGTGCAGGTGGTTTTCTTAAGGGGGCACATCCCGAGTCTTTGACCTAAAGGTCTAATCCACAAGGTAGTGAAGCAACGTCAGGAGATGCAATCCCATGGTAGCCGGTGGCCAACCATCGGCTCATACGCCATTCGTTCAATGAGGATACTTTAGCCCATGTGCACCAATGGTTTGGAATCAGGGTTTTCTAAGTCCTCTAGATAGACTCTCAGTGTCCACCAACCAAGTTAAGGCTCCGGACATTTGCTTTTCGTCCTCTCAATCTCGTAAACAGCACCCGCGCTGCGAGAAGGCAGTGAGTAGGAATTCCCTGGTGGTGGTTGTATGCACATGGCCACTTGGGAGCATTTCGAGAGGGAGTGGTGACTCTTTTCACTCTCGGCCTCACCAGCGCATTTGGAGGCATTCCAATCCATCAAACCCTTTATCGTAAGGGGATTCACAAACTTAAATGGATTCATTCTTAAAGGCACACACAAACGGTCAAAACAGTCACTCATATTAAACTCTAGAAAGGCAGGTCAGAAATAATAATAAGCTGAAAGCAGCGAGAAAAGTCTTACTTTATCAAAACAAGCTACATTGATTACTCCACAAACATTGATCACGGTTGGATTGACACAAAAAATCCCATGCGATAGCAAACGTCGTTGAGCCAGAACAACTCCTACTGTCATTACAACAGGTAAGGCTGGTGGTACCACTACAGTAACTAAATCTAACGCTCGACGGATAATGTCACCAACACCAACATTAACTCTGATCTAAAACAACAATTTCAATCATTTGAAAAAAATTAATAATAAACACATTATATTTAGTTACATTTTACAGTGTCTAATACGCGAGTAATAGTGGAGACATCAAATTGGGTAATAATCAGTACTAAACTGAGAATACGTGCCACCAATATATTGTTTGAAATAAATTTGAAAGTAAAGGGTTAAAAGTATCCAGTAAAACCAATTAATAAGATCCATTTCAAAGCGATAGCAACCGATGGTTAGAGACCTTGAATGACATGGCTCAAAATCGTTTGCAATGGCGCAGGTACATCCACTCTTTATGTTCTCCAGAATTCTAATCTTCTGAATTCATGTTCCCTTTTTTTCTCATTCCAAATTTAGTTCACTAGATTATACTCCTTGTATAACATCTTCAAACCCTAATCTTTCCGATTACGGCTTATACTTTTACTACCTCTACCACTAAGGAATTTGAATCAACAATTGTATTGCTGTGCTAATGTGGTATGGCAACTCGAATTGATGTACGTACTATACGTACAAAGTTTTACGTTGTTCCTGACTGACTGACTGATTTGAAGCCTGATTTTGATCAGATGGTGAGCATGTAGACATCCATTCCTGCACATAAGTGTTAGAGAGATCCAGAAGACCTCGAAAAAAGGCAAAACAAGACTGAAAACACTGAGAAGCATCTTAACCAATAGGTGTTCATTAAAAGTTTCGCCAGAAACATCTGTAAAGTGAAAAGTCACATGTCGAATTTCTGATTGGATGATTACCTATACTGCTGCTATGTTTAGTAGCGTCCCATAATTTGCCGGAAACCCAAGGCCATCTGAAATACTATAAAAACACTAGATTTTCTGAACATAAAACGAATCTTTGGAGCAAAGTGAATCTTCCAGAATTCGCGCCTTTTCTCCCGTGTTCAAGTTGCTGTGTAGATTTAACCTGGGGGTTACTAGAAGAGCTTAGGAACTGAATCTGGTGTTCAGTTAGAAGAGTTATCAATAAGATTACAATAAACATTATTCGTTGTCATTTTTAGCTGTTCTTATCATTTCTGTCAAACATTATTTTCATAATTTGCATGTATAAAGCAGTAGGATAAGATGGTTCAAAAACAACGCAATACGTTGATGGGCTTATAAAATGGACACGAGTGAAAGAAATTCAAAGAGTACTGTCAGATAGAATTCACCTAATAGGGACCTATATCAGTAAAAGCCGCCTGTGAGCAACACTAAAATCTCTTAAAATTCATAAAACAAAGTTCACTGTCCAATCTCACAGTGATGACACGATGTGGAAGAAGTACACAATAAGTGTACCTTATCTGAAGTAAATTTAATTCCAACGCTAATTCGTGGAAATTTTGTTCATTCGTACTTTATCCCAAGTAAACCCACAGTTATATTAAATCATTTTGGATACAATGAGTGACAAGAACATTTGTGATATAAAAATGCTTGTCAACAGAAGGACTTTATTCATTCAGATCTTAAATCATGATCTCTTAGTACCCTTTGGGTGAAATTGACCAGATCTTTTCAAAAATACCGTGATAACCATTTGGAATTTTTTAAAGAATATAAAAGTACGACACCTAAAACATGGAATGCAATTATTCGTTATTACACGTAACTAATATTTACAGCTGCTGTGTGACAAAAATGCTTCAACCGCATTTGAATCCAAAGCAGGTAATAAGAGGAGAGAATTGAATCTTTTGACAGCGTGTCCAAGGAAGGAAAAAAGAACTACACAAATAAGTTCTTTGTAGTAGATTGAGTACCATAAGATGTGCAAAACAAGATAACATAAAAAGGAGTATCCAATCAGGAAATAGCCAACGTCAACGGGGGAAGTATTGATTTAAGGTCATCATAGGTATCACCAAACGACAAAACAAAGAAAAAAAGCCAGTTTGAGGCCTACCACGTAGAAGTGGTAAAAAGACACAATGTCAGATGACTTCGAATTTCACCACCATATCCACCAAACAGGACTTTATCATCTTAATATGTAAATCAATAAAACTAGAGACTTTATTATAATAGGTTATCCACGTTCTCCAAAGGATAGTGTCGTAGAAGCGATTTAATTAAATGGCTACCATAGTCAATACAAGATAGGTTAAGCTTTACACAATCAAACAGAAAATATATTTAAACCACAAATTAAATCCCCAACTGAGCAAATTGTATTGTAAAGGTGGACGAGATAAGGAATGAATGGTGGGAAAGCATCAGTAACCAAATGACAGGTGAAAACAACTACACATTCTGCACAAAAACATCCCTACTTACCATTAAGTAGATTGAAACTCCCAAACCAATAACAGCAAGAATAGACAAAGCAAAAATAAACCGGAGGGAATCTTGGGTGAATTTGAATTTTAGAGGTTTCGGAAACAGAATTGACCGTACAAGCTCACCCTTGACAGTGTAAAAGCCAGTGCGTGCAACAACAGCCAGAACTCGCTCATCTGCATAATTTCTTGTTTGAATAACAGTAGTACCAGCAAATAAAATATGCCGACCATGAACTTTGATATCGAATAACGTACCCTTTGATGGTGAATCGGGTAAGGGAATTTTGGTAACTGGAACACTTTCACCTTAATTAGGAAACGATATTATTTGAAAATACATCGGGGTTAGTATGGCCTTAAACACAAAGTCCAAAGTGAAAATCAATATGATCCAGTGAATTTCGAGTAATTAGAACAGCAAAGTATTCATAACATCTGATATAGTCGGTTTTTCAAATTAGCACTTCGTGTCAACTCTCTGAACATGAAACATTATTTGTGTAGACAACACAAAAAACAAGAAAACAGTCTGTGAACAAGCACAGTATCTTATCACTGTGTCTCACTGTACTAAACTGTTTAAATGATGAGAAAGTGGAGCGCAAATGGGAAATCATGTCTAGGCTTTTTGATCATATTTGTTACTCGGATGAGGGTACTTCTTGCTTATTTGTAGTAACGGAAATAAACTGAGTTCGCACCACAAAATACATGTGTGTAATCCCAGCATCCGGCCATTCAAATACAGTTGCTCTTAAACCCAACACGGAAATCAACTTAACAATATGAAGTATTACTCAAGCTCAAAAATATACAATATAATTGATACTCCACGCACCCAATACAGGAAACCATATCATTGAATTTTGTTTACTTCAGTGAAATCTCTTGAAGACTCTACACACTTTGAGTTCTCCTTTAAAAAACTCTGTCTTAAGCTTATAGAGTAGAAATTTTATCATTGGAAAAGTCGTCTACAAATGACATTAATTTCTAATACAATGTTATTCACCACATTACTGTAAGATAAAATAATGGTGGCTACTTCCAGACAAAGTTATTGATGAACATCTCCAAAGTTTCACACCAACCACAAACAGAGCAAAAACGATCTCGCCGTTATGCAAAAAACCACACTCATCTTTCCATTTTCATGCATAGATTACACTGCTTATTTTGTCACATAGTAGTTCATGTAAAACAAAAACATCGTCAGTGGTCAGTGAGACCTATTTCCTCTCGAACGACTTTAGTGACGATATATCCTAGTTCTGTAACAATATTTCCCAGTCCACAAAAATAAACACTATACAGATTATACATTTTGACGTTGGTACTCTAAATAATTCATATCGTATCATTATCAACATCTGTAGTGTGACGACCCACAAACAGAGAGTGCTTTAAGGGATCGATAGGGAACCAACGAACAAGAGGTTACTGCACTCGGTTCGTAATCATAAGGTCACAGGTCTAAATCACATTTCAGTGTGGCCAGTCCCGAAAAACCAATACACCTCACAAAAACACCAAAACTTAAGGTCGAGTAGTATGTGGATCTGTACTTTCTAAATAAGGAACACTATTATCATTGTGATCATTATAATTATTATTATGGAGTGCTTGAGGAGAATTATGTAAAACCAAAATATATGGAATAAACGATTAAAAGGGATAAAAGAACATAATTTTTTACAGAAATCTTCATATGCATTTGTGTATTCACATAAAATTTATCGGACTCAAAAGATTGAGTTAAGAATATGGTTGACATTACCTCACATATTAATGAATCCATATCTACAATAACATTATACTAATGTGACTCACCGGTCAATGTACTTTCATTTACTATGCAGTTTCCCGCTAGTAAGATGGCATCACATTGAACCAGACAGCCGTTTTGTGGAATTTCAATTATATCACCGGGAACTAATGAAATGGAATCCACTTCTTTGAATTCTGTGAAAATAATTATTTATGAGACATTCCTTCTCAAATATTAATAAACAAATGGATTATTACGTCTGAATATCTACTGTTAAGGGAATTAAAATAACCATTTTGAGGGATTAAAAGAACGGTTTATCGAAACTATACAATCAATATTTCATTTTTCTATTGTTTGTTTGAAACTCCCCATTGATGTTTAACATTGCAATTGATCAGTTTCTTATTGTCATACGTGCATCCTCAGAGGATTGTCTCGATATTGCCTTAAGTCACATAAATATTGGTACAAGAGCGCACCAAATATATATACGCCACACGAGCAAAGACGGATAGTGGCTAGCAGCGGAATCCATACGCGCGTTTCGTCCTATTTTGGACACTTCAGCCGGATCCAACTGTATCCCAGATTTGATGTTCACTATAGGACTAGAACCCAGCTACAGAGTCCCAAATAGGATGAAAAGCGCATCCTGGATTACATTACTAGCCACTATCCATCTCTGCTATACAATTAATTAATTTTTGTTAAATCGTGAAATAGAGATATCACAAATCCCATGACTGAGTTCATCGTATAAGGTCATACTACTAGATAATGTGTATTTTCAAACTACGCATTATTCAAATGACTGTATTATGGTTAGGCAAAGAGGACATTTAACAATGAGGAAAGTCGCTTTGCTCTTATTACACAACAAAATATACTTTCCACTTCTACACAAATAAGTAATGCTCTTTTTCTATGTTAAATTTTGATAATAATGATTAATTTCTGACGTTTCCGGTTGGTCTACAATACTTTTGGATTAAGAAACGATTAGGGTACTCTCGAATATGAACAGTTCTGTTGTGGACCCACTAAACACAGCTGACATATAACACTTCAACATAAAAAAATGAAATGTGGGGAAAATTTGATATTCGAGAGGAACAAACAGGAATAGTACGACTCAGTGTAAATAGCGACAGCAAAATCCGACCTAAGGCCTCCTGATGGAGCTGCTGGACGGTGGGGGCAGCCCCTCTAGCCAACTTAGGCGGTCACAGAGATCGGGCCGATAACTCACTCTGTTGTATCTCATCAATCCCCGGTTCTATACTCTAGGCTCACTTTACCAAACGGGCTACACGATGTGTATGTTTATGTATGAGAATTGTAGAAGTTCTTGGACCTATATAGTTCAAGTATATAGGTATATGCAAAAGGTACGCATGAGGTGTCGTACAAAGGAAACGTTGAGCTGCGAAAATGTCTGCCCTGTTTAGTAAAATCAACGGCCTAGCTATCAGGTCGAAGATATAATAAAAATAGGCGTTAGCAAATACTAGGGTGAGGAAACCATCAACCTCCCCTGAGAGAGTGCTTATGCTTATATGTTTGTCAAGATATAATCGGGCGGTAGTCAAGGTGTGAATGATGTGCATATAATATGTAATTCAGTTTGGTGTAGCAAATACGTCTTCTTTGGAAGCAGTGAACATCTAGCTTCCCAGGTGGGCAAATATACCTGTGCATGCTATGGGATGCATGGGGTAAAACCTGTTACCGGTGTGCATGTAACGTATATTTGCTCACGTGGAATGTATATCCGCATGTATGCTATGTGATAAACCGTTGGAAGTCCATGTGCTAACTAGTATGCAAGTAGACTAAACATATTCAGGGCAAGTTAAATCGCACACTTCTTTACTTGTTTTTTTTTGGTGCGATACCATCATGCATGCAAAGACCCGTTGGGTGGCGATCCCCACTAAATCACAGTCACGCGGTGGGTTTGTGATCCCCAAAAACGGAATCCTTTACAGAAGGACTAGTACATCCACCAGAAAGCTTCATCAGTTGTTTCTGGCTGGAACACCAGTGTAAGTAGTAAAGAAAGTATAAAGTTGAGGCACACATAAAATTATGGAACTCAAAGTAGTGGTAACGAATCAGAGAAAAACAAAGGATTTGATTTAAATAACGTACTCTCGGTTACCGTTACTAATAAAGATTTTAAATCATTAACAAAAATTGAGTAAGTTCTTGATTACCTTACATGAAAATAGATAAAAACCTCATTGATAATGCTAATAATTCAAATTTACGAACATTGACAGTTAGAATGTCACATCGAGTACAAGCACATCTTGTCATTATCCTTGTTTGACCTGTTGTAAATATACTGTTGCAAGTATTCCTAGTCAGTTCCTACTCCTAGTTGATTAACCTCTGATACACTTCTACTACACAAATGAACTGACAAAAAGGAAACTTTTAAATGCGTTAGTTGGAAACCTTCGGTATGTATTCCAAGCGTAAGACATTCCGAGACTCATTTTTCTTAATACCAACATTAACAATAACGAATGAACAAGTTAGGCATATAGATCATTGCATTTACTTTAGAAACCACAACAGCTTTGACGGATTAGTCACCATTGACCATTTGCCAGATTTATGTCACTTTTAAGATCCGTTAGGTACCTAATTACATTAAACGGTAAGTATAATCCCGCCTTCTCTATACTAATATACTAAAAATCTAAAACTACTGTTAATAGTGACACGCAAGTATTACGAATCTGTGACTGTATAAATTCTTGTAGCACTACCCACGGAACTAGAGATAAGTTGCTTTGAAGGTGGGCAGAAATTGTCTAGGAAATCTCACTTTAGTAAACGAGTTTACCAACCACAACTTATTAAGAAATCTGAGTTGAGTTACACTATATTTAAATCCCAAGTATTAACCTAATTTTGCAATATGTATTAGCGCGGAGCAACGACATTAATGATAGGAAAAACGGAGTATTTGATACACAAATAATCGGTCTAGTCTATGAGTAAAAAATACTATAGCAAGGATCCATGATTCAAATAAAAGCTTCGAACTAGGAAATACGAGAATAATAAAACCATAATACTGAATAAACATGGAGTAAATAAATACAAGTAAAATCATTGAAAAATAGCTCAAAACGTTTTTACCTCACAGTTAAGTCGTCTCTTACAACAACCATTATACACAATTGACGGTAGAGAGCTAAAAAAACTCCCTTAAATTGAATACTTGGGACTAGTACAATGAGATTTGGGAGGTTAAATGGCATGATTCAGAATCTGCCACAACAGTTCAAATCCAATCAAGATTTATTTTACCAATCTAAAATAGACTAACACCCTTCGTTTCTGTTTTATTTTCTTGTTCACTTATATTCGGCTACTGCACAATAACAGCAATCAGAAATCATGGATCGCAACAACCAAACGAACGGAATCCAAGTACAGGCATTATACAAGTCATGAAAAGGATTACAGAAAAATAAAATATGTGCATACCTTTAACCCCATCTTCTTCTCGATAAACAATCACAGAAGAGGATATACACATAGTTTCTTTAAGAGTCTTTTCGTTCTACAAAAAAAGCGTTTTGTTACAAATGGGGAAACGCAAGTATGCAAATACAGCATTATTAGCATTGCTTCAAAACATTCAAATACAAAATTTTCACTGAGGAATTATACAACGTTCTATTAATTCACGATTCAATGGTACCATGTGTGAATTTGTCACACGATACTGACTAAGAAAATTCATTGGATCTAAGGAAACGAAGGAAGAAACTGTTATTTGATAGTTACTATAAACACATACATCCTGTCCTTTAAATGGTATTAGTTTAAATTCGAACATTTCAGTGTTTTTCAGATTCACACGCTAAAAGATATAAGTTAAAATCACCCCATGAAACAACGTACCATGTTACCCGAATAATTAGGATCAAGCTATCCTCATCACTTTTATCAAAATCTTATGGCAAAGCCGTTATGAATTAATTTATCACTTTGTAAAGCAACTCATTTAATCTAGTTCGAAAAACACCACAAACAAACCGTCATACATATACACAGTTTAATATGTGGCGCAGTTTAGCCCTTGAATAAATACAAAATGAGAGGAATGGTAAGGATTTACGACCTCATTTACGAATTAGTACAACTGCTGAGATTAAATCAAACATTTATTAGGCAAGTATAAAACTATAATAACAAACCTAACATAGATCGATGCCTAACGTTTTTGACTCACTCGACACTTACTGACTCTCAGATATCATTTTATGTGGATAGGTTATACTACTGCTAGTCAGCTGTTCTTTCTTCTCGACTACACGTTAATTGAAAAATTTAAATGGAGATAACAAAGCAGCTGACTAGCTATCTCATTCGCACTGCTTGACATTATCAATCCATCATTATTTTACGTTCCTTTGACAATTAAATCATGCAAACAAACAGCCGAAACTTCCCAATAAGTAAGAAAAATCGAAGTGCTCAGCCCCAAACCACACTTATTAAATAATTTAATGATACTGCTTTTCTATCTAAACTACAGTAAATAAGATCGGTGAACCAGTAACGTCCTGATAATCAAAGCATTCTGTAAATCATTGGACCGGTACATCAAAGCAAGACCATCACTTATTAAAAACCGTTAGAATAAGAAAGTAGTTACTTACTCTACGTAGTTCATAAACTTGCCATGATAGTGACATAATTGAAATAACAACAATACAAGTAGCGTACGTCCAGTACTCTTCAGAATACCACAAAATACAACTGAATATTTGGAAACAGTAGAATGGATTCAAGCACTACATAAAACAAAGTGTAGAAAAACCAAATGTCATATACAAAGTATAACAACTACGTATCCAGTACCCATAACCAAATCAACCTTCAAATTGTACAAAACTATTCAATGCGTAATCTGACCAACATACCTCATCAAGTAGTAGCCTGACAATTGAAGTAAGATTGATACTTATTTCATTCATTCCATACAACGCACGATTCATAAGGACTGTTTCGTTATTCAAAGGCTTAGAATCCAGAATTTCTTCATATGTAGTTTCATGCCAGCCCCTAAAATTCGAAAGAAACAAAATATTCTTTTCAAGTTCCATTGCACCTAATCAACCCAATATAGCAGAAAATACTTTGACAACTTCTACACTGTGTTTATATATTAGAATATCCTACTAGCTTCTTTCTATGCCAGTACCTATGAAGAGTTAACAGATGTAAGTCAAATTTAAAGGTTAAATTTCCAGGGACTAAATTTCGTCCTTATGCACAATTGTAACTGTTCAAAACGAAGTGTAAGGAGTTGTCAACAACTGCCATAATGTTCAACACGTGACAGAAAATTCTATGATAAAATGAGTAAGTGGGCTAATACTAGGCAGTGAAGTATCTTCTGAAATGAAACAACAAGGAGTACTTGGTTAAGACCCAATCAATGACGATATTTTCCAAAAGCTCATGTAGGAACTAAACATTTCACTAAGAAATGTTCACTATTTAAAATTTAAAAACTGGAAGGTAAATAAACTAAAAAAACATAAGAAATACCTTACATGTGCATCGATTTAGGATGCCACAATTTACATTTACTTGGGGTTTTGTTAACCGGATAGTATCATTAGTCCTCCCATCTAGAATGTGCCTCATATCCAAATACCTAGTGAATGAGTCAGTTTGTATTATTTTATCTAAGAGATCTAGATGAAGATGTTTCTGTTTACAATCGGGCCTACGGAAATTTCCAAGTACGGCCGATAGACTATTCTAGTACGAACGGGAACTAATGAGAACTTGACAGTACGACCGATAACGCCTCGACAATTATCATCAAACGAGGAAACCTAGAAAGAACACATGAGTGGAGAAAATGCCTGGCATTTAACGAATTCAAATCTAAATTGGAACTGTGTGATGAATATAACAACAAAACATGACCTTAAGACAAGAAAGTAAACTTAGAGTGGTAGCAATTTGTTAGAGAACAACAATGATCGTGTAGAAATACAAATTAGAGGAAATTTCGTTGCGGTTACCGTAACATGAGAGAATTTAACATTTACTGACAAAAGCTAGGCAATTTGAGCTATTTCTATCAAGATAAGGAAAGAATGTATATTCAGTTGAGACCGACTCCTAACCAAATGCTGTTTGACCAGAGATTACTATTCTCACACGGACCCAGATAGAGAAGACTAAAACTCCCGACACGATCCGGACCAATGTCGTATTTTTTGGAGTGGCCCGTAGCCTCGTTCGAAACCACTGCTTTACCAGTCAATAATGTACGAGGTAGGGAATCGCTGGGGACACGTGAACTGTCTCTCAAACAACGCTTATGAAAGTTCACAACCTAAACGATTCTACTAACTTTACTAAGTGTTCTATGTTTATCTCCAGCGTTCCTCAGTTAGCGTCCTACTATATACAAACAACTATCGGAAACGTATGTGTCTTCTACATATAAATCTAACTTTTTCCACTAGCCATTGTCATAAGTACTTAGTAACTTGCTGACAAGTATCGTAAGTACAACTAATGAAGTCTGTTGTGCAGTATGATACATGGTTTGGAAACCGAAAGTTTCAACACATAGTTTGGAGTGGAGCTTTAAAAGACAGCGGACAACATTTTGTAGGCTCGAATCCTTACCATGTGAAAGAAAATTATGATGAAAATAAAGAGTTAGTGAATAAAAGAGGATCCGAAAAATAGGAAAGGGGATTGACGTTAACCGGGATGAAGTCGAATGTCGGTAATTTACAATCTCCAGCTGCTCACACCCATCTCAATGAGAAACACAACCACTACTTATGACCATGTCGACCTTGAGTTTGCACGAGGAAACGTCGTAGAGCCGGTCACATGGAATCTTCGGCGTTTCGATTTTGGAGCATTAGCGCCGTTTTTTTTGAAAAATTTATGGTGCTGAAAATCTGTGCAGCAGATGGTGTGCCATTTTAGGACCCACTTTTTTTACTTTCATGATCCAGTAGGTTATGCTCAACTTACTGGATGACACAAATGTGGGTTGGTCCGAATTGGCATGTCACATTGTAACAACGAAATGAAATAAACAAAACAAATGTTGGAGGAAGCGAAACAAGGCAATAGTAGTGGCTATGAGGACTGAAGATTGAGAGAATAAGAATGCATCATCTCTGTGAATGCTGGATATGAAATCGTTAGTCAATTTTAAGCAATACAAAAACTGGCGCGTACGTAAATAGGTTCGAGTTCCCATGCGTTATCCGTAAAACAAGGTGAAAATATCAGAATAAGTTCCAGAGCAGCAGTATACTCGCTATTTGCCTAGCAGACAGAGATCTCTCCTAGCCCACAAGTGATGCAAGTTAGCAAAAGCCAACCAGGCTTTCTGAATCCAAGCCAACATTTCTTCATAACAACCCATCGGAGCTGATAAAACTCCCAAGATGAGCATAGTGATTGAAAAGCTCTACTACTTAACTTCCCATCATTAGCTCGTGTTGATGCAGAACTGTCCTGAAGCAATATTTTGTATTTAGAGAGAGAACCTAATATTATACTTGTAATGATTCTTAAGGAGATCAGAAGACTTAGCATTTAGTGTCATCACGAAAAGGAACGATGTCACCTACAAGTTAACAAGTCAATTTCATGATAAGAGATCAACCTTTGAGAAGTTAGATGAGTGTTACCTCAAAAAATGTCTACAACAAATTTAAATAGAAATAGACAAGATGTGAAATTTATTGCTCAGTGTCTAATCGCTATTAATCGACTCCATTAGCATCTAAGAATGAGAGGTGAGAAGTTTTTCTATTAATATGTCTCCATAAGTTAGTCATGAATGGGCTAGAGCGCTGAGATAGTATAAAAAGGGCAGATCCGATAGATGAAATTCGAAATCCTGAACAGAAGAAAAATGAAGATTAGGGAATTTTGACATATCATGTCATCAGGCAACTAATTAACGTCGAAATTGAAATACATCAATTAACCGAGAAAATTGTAGTCAACCGTAAAATCATAACTCGTGTTAAAAGAAACAATTACAAAAAATATGAAAACCATGACAAAACAAATGTCGACAACTATTCACTTATTTGAAGATTCGAACGGCTCGATTACTTTTGAAACCTCGTTTGATGTCTAGCAAGACAAAAAAGACTGGTAAATAAACCACCTAGCCCAAAGAATGAGGTTTCACCATCTCACTGTTATTCGTGCCGAATGAAACAGGGCGTAGACCGACGAACAATTCGAGGGGAAAGCTCTTTAACAACTAAACGTCTGGTCATTGGAGTGAATAGATAATACAAATCGGTAAGCCATACATAAGTTATACGAAATGAACGTGAGATAACGTTACAATTAACTTTACCTAATGAGCTCGAAATGGTGAGTCTCGCCATTCCAGACGTACTTTAAACATTTGTGAATGAAATAACACATCATCCTACCATCCTAAAAAAGGATTATTATAAATTTTTACTAACGTTCTCAAGGCTCATCATTCGTGACTTCATGAATGACACAGGCTTACGGACGTAAGACCTCCTGGTATAACTGTTAGAATGAGTCAGAGCACAAGTTTTTCTTACTTCACTCCTTCAATAACGTCAACGATCACATCATGTATGTAGTAAACACCATAGATATCCTACAAGAGAAATTTAACCACGGCTCATATCTCAAGTCCCAGGATCATGCATCCTTAAGGACTGAAGATATTTACCTGAACGAGAATCTTCTCAGCCTCCATCAAAGCGCACTTATTATACATACACATCAGCATCCAGTGCGGAAACCAGTGAAAAACTAGTCTCAACAGTCCGCATGTTAGAACGAACCCAGTGTACACAAAAGTGGTCCTCAAGTGGGAGAAAGAATAACCCGTAATATCCTTGACGTAAGAACATTGAAGGATATGTACACCTACCACCAAAATATCGTCAAGTTCGTCAATTTTTTGACGTTTACCACCCTGGACCCAGTTTTCCACCTTTTTTTCGCCTGGCATAAGCATCCAAAAGTTGATTCAGACGACTTTTATTGATTTTATGCTAGGAAACCATAAGGTTCGAAGAGTACCAAGTGCGAAATAGCCGCGAGAACAGACTCATGTGATAATCCCAACGTTGCGCACTAATACAAACTATAAGCACCAGAAGCGTCCAATATACAGGTGCCTGAAGTTCAATTTCATCTATTTTCAACATACGTGTTCATGAAAGCTTTTTAGATATCTAATATACTTTCAAACTCAACTTGATCATAAAAGTTGTGAATAACGCTAACAATACACTTTACAAGACAATGAAGCTAACCGATTTGTGAAGTAAACGGAAAGAGCAATAACATAGAATTGAATGGGATAACATACATTCATTTCACTCCATTGGGCAATCATCATTTTATTACGACGAAGCCTAATAAATGGGTAAATACGGTCCATCGCATCACTAGGCAGTTATGAAAATAGGTATATGAAATTATTATTTAGATTTAGATCCAGATTTGTGTAGTAAGAGCAGAAGGTCTACAGCCTATACTATTCCATTTCTAGTATACTTCTGTGGGTGCACAGTACTCTCTTAAACGGCTCAATTGAAGGTGCGGACATCATCGCTTCACGAAACAAGTTTCAAGAATTGACGACTCGTTGTGAAAACCTGTATTCCACGGGTATCTTATTCGTTCTTGGCTTTCCTACTCGTCCGCTATGTCCTCTGAAATGTCCTGTTCTAGTGGGAAGAAGAAGAGCGGATATATCAGGTTCAAAATCATTTCTTAGTACTCTGCACACCAAAATCAGACCACCTATTAATGTGAGATAGAACAGAGTACAGGGGTCTAGTTTCTCAAGCCGCTCTTTGTATACTAAAGCACAGAGTTCCGGAATCGCATGCCTAGCTGCCCCTCTGTACTTTTCCCATGATATTCGAGTCACCTTTTAAACAGGAGTTTGCGGCCTGAACTCAGCCTTCAAGCTTACCCTCACTAAGGTTGTGTATGCTGCATTGAACACAGTAGTATCTAAGTTGGTGAATGTTCATTCTAAAGCTCATACGTCTTCAAACACCTAAGCTGCAAACCCCCGATAGTGGGCCATGATCATAAGGTCATGACTCACCATCACCCCAAGATTCTTGTGAGACAAAACCACGGGTACAGGCACTTGTAGCGGTAAATAAATCCCCAAAATAAATAGCCCTGTAAGTTTTCGACATTGGATGCTGACCATATGTTTTAGTGGACTCATCTAGCTGAAGGCGCTCGGTCAGGCATCCGCACCAGATCACGTGTGGTAACGCTGTGCTCAACATCTATCGCAATCACTAACCAGATTAGATCAGAGAATTTCGATATATTGGTGATTGCCAAATACACTCTTCCGATCTCCTCGACTCTGTCTTTTGATTTCTCTGGGTGGGAACGAACCATATTAGGCGTTACTGGTAGAAGCGTTGTCAAACACTGAATACCTGTGCCATCTTCACACTTCCTCTATGTTGTACCTACTTACATTCGTATCCCCAAAGTGCATGTAGATGCACTTTGTCATGTTGATAGACATCAGTCACTCTTAAGACCGGCTAATCAGAATACGTAAATTCATCTAAAGTGTGAATGCACCCGCGTGTCATGTTGTTTCTCACCAGACTTTTACATCATTTGCATATAGTAACATTGAGGACACAACTATTCTTGGGGCTGCAATATGTTGTGCAATTTGTCTCAAGATTTTGGGGTGTGGTTCATCCATTCTTGCTGAAAGTTCCGTGCCTAAGGTGCTAAGATCCTTGAGTAAATCGTCTCGATCAGAGTCCATAGTGAGCAGACGGTTTGTTGGCACTGTATTTGAGTCTTGTTCTTCGTCTATGAGAGCCACCTTAGTGAAAACTGCACCGGAGTAGTTTGTCATGGCCTCTGCTTTTTTCTGGTCATCCTCTGTCATTTTAGATACTCATATAATAATTGTGCCTTTACCCAAGCAGCATTTCCGAACTAGTTGAATATAATTGATTTTTTATTTGGATCACTGGCCGATTGAAGGTAGGCTATCACTGAAAACGTGAAAGTACTGGACGACCATTTCGTCGAGTTGTGGATTGGTCAAAGTTGGACATTAGCAACAATAAATGCCAGTCTAGAGGCTAAATGCTCGCTCGGATGATCGGTGGACTTAGTTTTGAATTCCTCATGCAGGATTGTGGATGCGCATCGCTGAGGAGCCCCGTAATAATGCAGAACAGCCATCCAGTGCATCCATGTTTTCAATGGCGGTCCGAAATTGATCGGTTCATAATCTCAACTAATAATCAATGCCTTCTACTGATATTATTGACGTCGATAATACGGTATTTGAATATGGAATACATATTATTATTATTATTATTATTATTATTATTCACAAACATCTTATGGGTACATAAGTGTTGTGAAGAAACCATTTCGGGTTTCTTCAAAAAAATGCAATAATACACAATTTTCAATAATGTCAGCATTCTACTTGCCATTTAAAAAAAATTTTGAGCAATAATAGTAGAATATTAATAATAATAAATCGGGTCTGTGCAATTGAGAAGAATATTGAATTGAGTCTAAAGAAGGAAATGCAGAAAATAAGGGAATAGAAATAAAGGAGACGTGAAATACGCAAACATTCTAATAGGCGTGTTTACGAACACAGAACAAGAATAAACGACTATGTGTGTATCGTTAAATTAGTAACAAAAAATAATTAAGAAAAAATAACTTATAATTGCAGTAAGATATGACGCTAGAATAAATGTTTGTGCAGTTATAGTTTAGAGTGATGCTATGAAAGTTACAATTAAATGAAAAGGATAATAAAATATCAATATGTATGAGTCATATATGCATAGTGAAGATAAAACGGGTCTGAGAATTTAATTTAAGTGTAACACAAGTTATTGTTTTAATTACAAACTTCGTAATCTTAAGAATAATATTTATTTAGAGGGAAAGAAGAGAGAGAAAAGAAGTGAACACCTAGTGAAAAGTTTTGATCCATGATAAGAATAATAATTGTGTAATGAATATCAACCTCAGAAGGAAACCAGCAATTGAAAAAAAAAATAAAAATCCGTTAAAGCACTCGGATGAATACATTTAGATTTATGTAATAGTATACAGAGTGAAACCGGATATTAGTATAAATATTTGTGCAATAATAATTAAGATTGATGCTATGAAAGTCAAAATTGATTTAAAGGACAATCTGGAGTTAAATATGTTTAGAAGGATAAGAAGAGATAAAAAGAATATCTAATGTGTCAGGGAACTAATAATGATATTAATAACGGAAATAATGATAAACACGAACATAATCAGATTTCATATATTAAGATAAATAGAAATAAAATAAAATAGATGTGGAAAGATTTAAAGGTTTTATTTTGCTTTTCAAGCAATTAAATGGATGACGGACCTTGTTTGTATAAATCATTATTGAATACATTGATATTCAATAGGTGACATAATCCACTTTCGGAAAGAAAATCGTCAAGGAGACTTTTGAACCGGGTTGTAGTTTCACTGCAACGGAGGTTCACTGGCAGTCTGTTCCACATGGTTGAGTAGCGAATAAGGAAAAAATTCTGACGTAAGTTTGTGTGGGTTCTTGGAATCGCTAGAATATTCTCCTTATTGCGTAGATTGTGGGATGATATCATAAGGTATGAAGGGGTGGATACCGAAGAGTAGGAAATACCGTTAATAAGCCGGTAGATAAAGACAAGATTTAATTTGATACGTCTGATCCAAAGAGGCTCTAAGTTGAGTTGTTGACATCTTTGGTAATAGTCTTTGTTATCGGAATACCCCAGAACAGCTTTGGTGAACCTTCTTTGAACACCTTCAATTCTAATCAGGTCAGTATGTCTACAATTACTGTAAACTAAAATACCATATTCAAGAATGGGTAAGATACATTTTCTGTATAATAACATTCTCGATTCGATATTATTGAAGTGTTATATCCGGTGAAGATTAAATTACAGGTAAATTCCAAGGACTATTCATGGACTAATATTCTAAAGATATTCTTATTGTATAACTACTCAACAATTACACTATGTATATTTATATTCCTTTTATGATAAGCTTTATTTTGACCTATAACTTATTGTTGTACGATTTACGCTTCTTAAGTTATGTTCAGTTTATTAACTACTGCCTCCCACATTCACAGCCACTTTTTGGGCTTATTTGTGTACAAATATTATTTCCTATTTTATGGTACGTTGCGGTCTGTGTGATTGATTGAGAGCACGGGTGTCAAATTAATTGGCTTATAGTTAATAATATCACTATGTGGTCCTGTTTTGAATCTAGGGGTGATAAGGGATGTTTTCCATACAGATGGATAGGTTCCATATTCCATAGATAGATTGAAAAGTTTTAAACAAAATAGTGGAAATTCTCTACTTCCATATTTCACAAATGATGAAGGTATCCCGTCAGGTCCACAATCATAAGACTTTTTCAGGGCAGCTATGGCCTGCTTGATGTTGGAGGGTGTAAAATCAATTTTCGACAGATGTCTGGATGTCAGCATTGGAAATGTAATGATGGAGCTTTCAGTTCCAGTTTTGTAGCACTGCGAGAAGTGCTTGCTGAATCGTTCACATATAGTATTCGGGTCGTTAACAATGCTTCCGTTAACTATGAAGAATTTAGTCGTGCCAAGGGAATTTGACTTTACACGAGATTTAAAAAGCCGAAGTATTAATAATTCTGGGCTTTTACTACGTAGAGCTTTATTTTCCATATTCATAAAATGCTTACGTTTAGATGAAGCATTTCTGTTGATTAATTTAAGTATACTCTGAAGTGCATACACATCATTCTGCTCGTAGTAGCGGCATTTTAATTTCCTCAGCTTTCTTTTAAAAGTATTTTGGCCCCTATTAGCATTATAAGCCACACGGCCAATAACTGGAGCAGTGCAGTCAAGGCAATATATCGGGTTGTGGTATAGATTGGAAAGCGCAATGTCAACATTATTTGTGGTAAAATAAGTTTCCCATGGTAAACATTGAATGAGAGTTTCAGTCCGTTTCCATTTTTGTTGATCAAAATGTATGCTCTTACGAATACACTCATGTTTAACGATTTGTTCCTAGC